TAAAGGACACTTCAAAGTCAGTAATTACAAAGTATAAAACCAATGAGAGATTGTTGGGTTGGTGGCATGCAGGGAAAGGACCCACTGGTCAGAAGGACCTGTCTGATGCAGGGCCAGGACACCAGCAAGGCCAAATCCTGAAGTAGTGAGGAGAGATAGAGTCAGAGTGGAGTGGATGACAAAAGGAAGTTAGTTCCAACAGAAATGGGATGGCCCAGGTCCCCAAAGTCCCTCCCCACCTCACAAAAGCCCCAAGGGCTCCTGAGGGCACTAGGGCCCCACCTCATTTTACAGATGAGGAAACCCAAGCCCCACACAATGCCAGCTTCTGTCTGCAGCTACTGCCAACTCAGCATTGCTCCATTCGGAATCTCCAGCACTTGCCCCAGTGTGTATTGAAGGCACGTGTCAGCATTTATTTGTGAATGTTCCGTGTTTCTCCCAAAAGATAGTTTGTATCATAAAACAAACTTCAACATTGCTGGTTGCAAGGAGGAAACATGAAACATGCTAACTTTTTTTTTTTTTTTGAAACAGGGTCTCCCTACATAACCCAGGTTGGCCTAGAACTCATGAACTCCCTGATTTGGTCTCTTGAATGCTGGGATTACAGACATTTTACCAATACTTCTAATGCCAGTACTAACACCATTTTACCAATACTTCTAATTATTATTACCAAGCTCTGCATATTCACTACTCTTAAACTCAGCTTCTCCATAGCTGACCTAACATTCTCCAAAAGCTATTCTCTCTTTGAAGAGAGAACTTAATTTTCAGTTGTGGCCTGACTAGCTCAGTCACTCCCCTAGAACACTAAGAAATTCACTTCCCTCTGTAGGACCTTCCAGCAGAAAATGCTAAATGGACTCACTCCTTACCAGTTGTACGCAGGCTGACTGTCCATGAAACAGAGTGTCCTGAAGTAGCTGAAAGATGGGGTTGGGGCTCATTTCTGAAGACATGACTTTAAACCCTATATACTCACCCTGCATTTGGTTGGCTCTCCCACTCTATACTGCCATCACCAATCCCAGACTGTGGTCTGACAGTCTATTCCTTTTATATTTATTTTGAGACAGGGTCCCAGTATGTAGCTCAAGCTCGTTGGGAACTTGCTGTGTAACCTTGAACTTGTGATCTTCCTTCCTCAGCCTCCTGAGTGATGGAATTACAGGTCTGCATCACCATGCCCAGCTGGTCCATCTATTTTAAACGGAAAACCTTTCCAGTGTGTATCTTCTACCCTCCTTGTTTTCTTTTGGAATCTATTAGTGGGGTGATTCAGTAGCCAGGTAAATGTGAGTTGCAATCCCAGCCTCCAAATGTACACCAATGTGACACCTTACGAAGGCCACTTACCAGGTCAAGTCTTGGCTTCCCACTCTGCCAAATGAGGGTTATTAGCAAACCCATCTCAGATTGATTGTCAAGATGAGACAGAACAGTATATAGAAAGGCATAGCCCGAGGTCTGGCACTCAGAGAGCATCACTGAATATTCATCTCTTTCCTAATCCCTTATCTGAGAGGAGATCCAGGCATAGACTTCCTATTTAAAGGGTGGTCCAAGAACCAACAACATCAGCATAATACAGAACTTCAGAAAAAAGACCTTCTTCCCTGTCCCTTAATCAGGCTGGCACAGTTCAAAAGAATGAATTTAGGGCAACCAGAGAAGTTACAGAGATGAACTCAGCCTTTGCCTACCTGGTTTCTCCTTTTCAAGACAGACCCAGTCTTTCAAAAGAACCCCCTGGCCGGCTGACTTGATGCCCTTTTTTATGTGTCTGCAAATTTGGCTCCATGGCAAAGAACTGGGAATTTCCAGACCTCAACCCAGCTAATCTCCAGAACCATGGACAGCGCCTACCCTGCAGCCAGTTGCCTTCCAGGTCAGGTGAGGTGGATGCAGTCAGTGTTCCCTGTGGACAGAGTTTGCACCTGTCTCAGCAGTAGAGGTAAGAAGACGTAAGAAGGTTGGGGAATGGGTTTGGTGACACTCTGTCCTGCAGAACAGAGATGCTGGCAAGGAAGTATCCATACTCCTCAATCTCCCCCTGAAATTTCCATCAAGCTTGGGAAGAGGGGACTTAGCTTTAGAGATGATGCCTCTCTCACAGAAAACTGGCTCCTTGCCTCTGGGGGCTGAGTATCCTCCATAAAATCTCATGTTCTCTTCCTGCTTTCCTTCATTTTTCCAGTGAGCTGATATTTTGCTGCTGATTTTGTACTGTCATGGAATTCTGGAGAACAGAACACTCTGTGGCTTATTCTGTGCCTGGCTCTAGGTCAGGTTTTGATTCAGCTCACATAAAAGCATGACATATCAGGAGGCTTGTTAAGAACTTTTATTTTTAGCTGATGGGTTACAAAAATAAATTCTAAGTTTTGGGGCTGGTGGAGTGGCTCAAGTGGTAGAATACCTGCCTAGCAAGTGTGAAGCCCCGAGTTCAAACTCAGAACCCCCCCCACACACACACACACCTAGGTTTTCCTCCATTCTACCTGGATACTAAGTACTCAGATTGGGAAAAGGATCTTGAGGCTTCAGTGACCTATGGGATGGAAAGAGTTGTCACAAGAGCCAGAGCAGGCCAGGAGAGATCAGGGGAAATGACAGTGGGGTGAGGAGAGGAAGAGCTGATAGATATATGGAAGCATAGGCCTGTGGGTCTGGAGGAACCATTTAGAAGTTAAATCTCATTCTGAATGTGTGAACAAGTGGTTGTGTGACAACTAAGAAGGGGCTGAAAGATGCAGGCAAGCCTAGCCACATCCTGAATTCAAGTTGACACCAAAAAGCTGTAAACATCACACCCAAGTCTTGAGCTTGAGCCAGGACTCAAGTTCTCAGTTGCTATCTCTCACCACAAAGGACACCCACAGAGATAACCTTGAATTCAGCTGTCCCTTCTGGTGGCTTCTTGAGTGGCCAGAGCTGGGCTGAGGGGCAGAAGATGCAGTTTCAGGTAGGTTCTGGTCTGTCCTGCTCTGAGATGCTCCAAGAATATCAAGTGTGTGTATGTGTGTGTGTGTGTGTGTGTGAGAGAGAGTGAGAGAGAGAGAGAGAGAGAAAGAGAGAGAAGGAGGAGGAGAAGAAGAGGAGAAGGAAGGAAGGAGGGAAGGAGGGAGGGAAGGGAGGAAGAAAATAGGAAGAAGAGGAGGAGGAGGAGAGCAACAACAAGAATTAAAGGCAAAAGATTTATTTGATCTAAAGAGAAACCAGAGTAGAACAACAAGAATAAGAACAAGAGAGAGCCCATACTCCATTTTCTGGAGGTATGGAGATGGATATCTGGAGGAGGCAACACTTGAGTGGCAGGCTGTTAGAAGGATCCATAGACAGGTTGTCTCTAGCCCTGAATTGAGGGGAGTTTTGACTTCACTTCCTCAGAAGTCATATGTGGGAAGAGGCATTGACAGGGGAAGGAGTTTGGGGCAGCTGGGCCCAGGGTCTCCAGCTGTCTGCTCTTTCTTCATCTGCTCATGATCTCAAATGGAAGGGACTGATCAGGTGATAACAGGGGTTGTCATGTCCCCTGCTATGTGTGTGTGAGGTGAGAGGTCTGCAGGAATATGACTTAATGGAGATTCCCTGATCTCCATTTTGTGGTACAACTCAGAGAAAACATGGAGGATAGGAACTGCATGTATGAGAAATCAGGGACACAGAGTAAGGTGTAATGTCATGCTCTCACCTTCCCTTCTCTCATTCTGAAATGTCTGTGTTGATTCTAGAATCACCCATATTTTTGATTTGTGAAAGAGGCCAATATACACCCTGATCTTCTTATATCCACAAACAGACCAGGTCAAAATCTGTAGGAAGAAAACCTAGGACCTTGGACCAATTCCACCTCCAATTCCACAAAGTGCTCTCTGAGCAATAGGGATGCCAGGTTGGGAGAGAGAATGACATTCTTTTTTCTTTGTGGGAAGACTTCTTGTGAGATACTGCATTGTGAGAACAGCAAACACAGTGTGTGCAGGTGATAGCAGCGTGGGAGCCTCATCCAATGACTTGAGATGAAGAAGCGAATTTGCTGAACCTTGGCAATTCCATTACTTGAGAGTTCAAGGCCAGTCTGGGCTACATAGTGAGACTCTCCCACACACCATCTCAAAAACAAAACAAAAATGCTGAAGGAATTAGGAAGCCAAGAGATGAGCCAGGTATGCATACATGCTTTTTTCCCTCAAAAAGAGTGCTCATTCCAAGGAGTTACTGAGAAATTAAACAGAATATTTGTAAGTCTCAGGGGGCTGGAGGGATAAAAGCTTGACTGGGGCTGTCAAAGTTTCTAGTGAACATTGCAGTCTTCCTGCAGGAGAAGACTATAGGGACTTATAAGGTCCCTAAATTGGGATCTTACAGAGTAAGTGTGGGCTGAAAATAAGTGATACCTCATAAAGATTGAAACCATACTTCTAATTCCCTCATCCCTGATTAAAGTGATCTACTTGCAACAAGCAAGAGTAAATGTGTACTGAATAAAATAGTATGACCCGGAGTCTAATGTCATCTCTGTAATTTTTCATAATTGTATCAGGCAGAATGCATCCAGGGAAACAAATTCACTGAGGGAATTACAAAAATAACAGATTAGCAGACCTAGCTGAGCACTGGTGGTTTATCCCTGTAATCCCAGTTTCTTAGCAGGCTGAGATTAGGAGGATCACAGTACCAGGCCAAGCCAGGGGAAAAAAAGTTTGAGAGATTCGATCTCAATGGAATAAAGCTAGGCATAGTGGTGTGCACCTGCTATCCCAGCGACAGTAGGAAGCATAAACTAGGGGAGCCACTGGTCCAGCTGAGCCTGGGCAAAAAGCGAGACCCTATCTCAAAAATAACCTAAGCAAGAGGGCTGTATGGCTCAAGTGGTAGAGTGCCTATCTCGAAAACACAAAGCCCTGAGTTCAAACCACAGTACCATCAGACGAGAGAGAGAGAGAGAGAGAGAGAGAGAGAGAGAGAGAGATACTGAATAGGAGGACAGGACCATCACTAAGCAGTTCATCTGAGCACAGGTGTAGAGGGACAAGATAGAGCTTGCAGGGAAATCTGAGAAGCTGAGCACATTCACTGCTATTGTGGGACTTCCAAAAGGGTCCTTCACAGAAAGTCCTGTGGGAAGCTGGTGTCTCTGTGAGGACATGGCCAAGAAGATGCTAAGGCCGATCATCACCAGGGCTGACAGGTGGGAAGATGAGCTGCATCCCCTTCCAACTCCACAAGGAAGGCCAGACCAAGGTAGCTCAAGTTTATTCACAGTGACATTTCCAGGCAGCCCCCGCCTGGAGGTCCCCTCTGCACCCCGGAGCCATTAGAAGGCGGGGATGGCCTCGATCCCAGCCCGCCCCCCGCCCCGCGGCGGCCCCTCCTCGTCCAGCCCGCGGCGGCCCTTGCCGATGGCCAGGCGCGGCCGGCCGCGGTTCAGGCCGTCCAGGAGCGCGCAGGCCTGGCAGAGCGCGCGGCTGGCCAGCGCCCCGCAGCGGGAGCAGGCGCCGGGACGCGGGGGCCGCGCGGCCGGAGCCAGCGCCAGGCGCTCGGCCGAGTGCACGAGGTCCAGCACCGCCGACGGCCGCGCCGCCTCCAGGCGCTTGAGCAGGTCGCGTGCGTGGCCGCGGAAGGCCTCGGGCGCGTACACGCACTCCTCCGAGAAGTAGCGCAGGCCGCGGAAGTGCGCGTACAGCACCACCTCCTTCTGCGACGCCAACTGCAGCGGGCGGCAGCGCGGCAGGGCGCCGCCCTCGCCGGGGGACCCCAGGCCCCCGCCCCGCGCCAGCCGCCCCGCGTCGCCCCGCAGGAAGTTCATGAGCACCGTCTCCGCCATGTCGTCAGCGTTGTGACCTAGGGGAGAGATGGCACGGGTGAGGCGAACGCGGAGGGCGCTGCTGGCTGTGCGCCCCCCTCCCCCAACCAGGGGCAGCCAGGACCCAGGGAGAGGCGGGAAGGAGAGGGGTCATGGAGATCCCCAGACCCCCAGGACCCAGACAGAGAAAGGGGGCCATGAAGACAACCCTACCCTGGGCACCCCAAGCAGCTAAGAGCCAGGAGAGGCGGGAAGGAAAAGGGGCCATGGGGATCCCGGACACCCAGCACCCAGAAAGATAAAGGAGAGAGAGGGGGCCATAGAGAACCCCCCCTAATCTTGGCAACTCTGGCAGCTAAGACCCAGGGAGAGGTGAGAGGAAGAGGGGCCCGTGGAGACTCCCAGACACCCAGGACCCAGAGAAAGAAAAGAGAGAGGGGGGGCCATGGAAGACCCACCCTCAGAGGCACCACAGGCAGCCAGGACCCAGGGAAAAGCAGGAGAGACAAGGGGACCTAGAGACCCCTGGGCACCACGGGCAGCCAGGACCCAAGGACTACAAGGGAGGAGGAGTGGGCCATGGAGACCATCCTGGGCACTGCAGGCAGCCAAGATTCAGAGAGAGGCAGAAAGACAGGGGGTCATGAAGACCCTGGGCACCAGGGCAGCTAGGACCCAGAGAGAGATGGGGAGGGAGGGGGAGTAGGCCATGAAGACTCCAGGCACGGTGGGGTAGGAGGAGGCTGAAAGTGGTCACAGCAAGCAAGAAACTCAGGATAGCATAGACTCCTCCTTTGACACCCACCTGCTATATACCAGGTCCCATGCTGGTTACCCTTTCACATAAATGCTTGTGCCTGAAAAGCCCATTTCAACCTCAGGTAAAACTACCTCAGACTACACAACTACAAGTAGCAGTGGAGATTCTCCAGAGAGCTGGAGATACAGGTGCCCCCTGGGAATGCAGGTCAGTGTTTAGAAAGACCAGAGAGAAAGTTAGTATTTACACACCAGCCGCCGTAAAATTTAAACTCAGGCCAAACTTACTCTGCATCTTTTCCTCTTATACTTGAGTCTTTGTACTAAAGCACTAGTCTCTTGAAGGCTTTTCTAGTTGGCCATACTTCCCCTCCTCAGGGCGTTTGCATAATGTTTCTTCTGCTTAGAGCACCTCTCCCAAGCCCCTACTCTTACATCACCTGGTCAACAATGTAACCTTCAGGTCTCAGCTCACTCAGGAGAGACTTTCTTCATCCCTATTTCTTCCCTTTCACTAGGACCTGTACTGTAAAGTCACAAGGTTTGTAGCAGTTGTCAGAATATGGTTATTTTGTGAGAATCCAGCAGAGGCAAAGACTCGGTCCAGGAAATCATCATAACATAATGTTCACTGTCTTTCAGTCTATAGTCTAATTACCTTACAATAATCCATCTAATTCCCAACAACTCCAGGATCTAGGTATTACTAATATACCCATTTTACAAAAGAGCATACAGAAGCTAGGTAATTTGCCGCGGGGCTACACATCTTATAGGTAGTGTTTAGCAAATGACCAATAATTACTTAAGTAATGATTGGGAGAAAGCTTCAGAAAGAAGCTGATAGAAGTACTTCAGCACAATCGTGTTCAGACTACATATGGCTTCTGATGGGAGACACCCATTCCCACTCCTCCCTTTGTGAAGGACAACACAAAGGTCACTAAAAATGTTTAAAATTATTTTTAAAAACATGACAAAATGTCTTTTTTTTTAAGTAAAGGAGCCTAGGATTAGCCCCTCCACACCTCTATGTGGCAATGTCTTCATACCAAGAATGATGGCGCTCGCAAAGCCAACCCTACTCAAACTAGTACTGTACATGCCATACAAGTGAACCAGCAGTAGGCGCCACTCAACTTAGCGCATGCGCAAAACCCATATCCATACTAGGCTCCTTCCCTTAGGTCAGGCGCAGGGGCTCCTTTCCCACCCCTTGAACATGCGCACTAGTTCCCTTTCGAGCCGCCCCCTTCCTGCGCATGGTCCTTCTGGCCACGCCCCCTGCGCCCACCTGTCACGATGTGCGTGGCTCCCACGAGGCGCGCCCCTTCCTCTAGCGCACGGCGCCGCAGCACCCCGCAGAAGGTGCAGCAGGAGCGGCTGCGGCCGGAGCCGGCCGTGCTGCGGGCCACGGCGTCCATCGTCCAGCCCCCGAAGAGGTCTGCGTAGGCCACTACGGTGAGCGGCAGCTCCCAGCGCTCCGCCTGACACCGTACGGCCGCCAGTGCCGCATCCCGGTAGCCGCCGATGCCCTCGTCCACCGCCACGAGCTGCAGCGAGATGTCCAGGCGCGGTGCGAGCGTGCGCAGCACGTGCGCCAGCACGGTGGAGTCCTTGCCTCCCGAAGCGCCCACGGCCACCACGGCGCCGGGCGGCAGCAGGCGGCCCGCGAGCACCGTGTGCAGCACCTCAGTCTCGAAGGCGGCACAGAAGCAGGAGCCGCACAGCGCCTGCCCCGAGCGCGGGCGGCGGAGGGCGGCGCGCGCCGCGTGGCAGGAGGCGCACGTCGGGGCGGGCATCGTCGGGTCACGGCGGGGGAGGGCGGGTGGGGTCGGCTTGTCCTGGACGGGGAGAGAGAAGCGGGTTACACGGAAAGTCGGGACTTAATGGGGAGGCTGCCTGGGTAGCATCAGTGCTGGAATGGACCCGGCGCAAGGGTGTGCACGGGAAGAGTAGCTTCTCCCTGAGCCGGGGACCCGAGGGTTAGACATAGCTTCTGTGTAAAGGGGGCGCTGCCTTCAGGATGATTGCGCTCATCATGCACCCCAAAAAAGAGGGGAGAAAGGAGTTGATTTCAGGGGGAAAGAGAGAAAGACACAACCAGGTTATACTCAGAATTAGGATGTGTCTGCTCCAGAGGTGCCTTTAAAGGTCTATTGCACAGCCTCTACGCAGGCCACCTGTTACAGTCCTGATCAGGGGGATAATGTGGATATCACTGACCTCGGCCTTCAGGGCTGTTCAGAGAGCTCGGAGAGGACCAGTTAAGGACTCTTAAGTCCTGAGGCCGGAGGACTGCAGCTGTGTTCAGGGGCAGGACACTGTCTCCAGGAATTGGTCCTGATTGTTTCCTTTGAAAGGCAGGTGATCACTCCCTCTAGAGAAAGACAGACGAAGCTTGGGTGGCACCTCCACGGACACCAGCTGGGGTTGCTCCTGTTACAGATGCACAAGCTCCTATGGTCCCATGGACACAGGGGTCGATCCATCCTCCCCTTTCTTGCCTCATCCCTCCCCAACCACCCAAGATTCCAACCCTCCAGCCATACCCTCCTTGGTCCTGCCTGTGAGCCCAAGAAAACCAAGTTTAGTCTACCTCCCCAAGCCAATGTCACCTCCAGCTTGGGCCACTGTGGTAGTCTCTTGCCATATGGAGCAGGCCAGGCTGCTTCTAGGGTTTACCACAGTGTTTGGAATGATTTTACGTAACTGTATCCTGTCTGTAACTTCCATGAGAGCAGCGACCAGTGCCATTCACATGTCTAACAAGTATCTCAAATCCCTGATTTCTTTAACTAAAGGGACTTCTGTAGTAAAGGGAGGCTCTGAAGCCAGGGCATGATAATCCTAGCACTGGCAAAGCGGAGGCAGAAGGATCACAGAGTTCAAGGTCAGCCTGCGTTTCATATTTACATATAAATATGAAACGCAGGCTGACCCTGAGTGTGAGAGGAGGAGCTCTGTCTGACCTTCTGGCTGTTCTAGTTGTTCACACCAGAAGTTCTGAGGTCCAGGACCACTCTGGTTGACTCCAAATTGCAACCTGCCCTGATCTTTCAAATTCTTGATTTAGCTTCAAAACAGATCCAAAAGCCAACCAGTTCTCACCATCTTCATTGCTGACAACCTAGTTTGGGCCATCTCACTCCTGGATCATTGGCATAGGACTCCTTGTTGTTCTCCCTGACTCAACTTCCCCACCTCCTCACAGGCTCTTTTCCACATAGCAGGCACTGGGATCCTACCCAGTATCTTCTCAATCCCTCTGTGGGTTTCATTTCATTTTAGGTAAACAGTAATGGCCTATGAGGCCCTATGCCATTTTCTCCTTTTTTTTTTTTTTTTTTTTTCCTGACTTCATCTCCTACTGCTTACCATGCTGGTTTGTGCTCTCAAGCATCCCAGGACCATGCCTGCCTCCGGGTGCTGGTACTGGCTCTTCCGTCTGCCCAAGTTCTCTTCCCTGTTGCTGAGCCCAGCAAGCAGCCTTCGGGGCATAGTTATGGTGCCCATCAGGCACATCTTTCACAGCCAAACAATGCCCCCTTGAAATCTTTCTATCCCACTGTTTTGTTTTTTTAATCAAGTTTTCCCTTTGCTCTCCTTGTTTCTCTCTTCTCACTCAGGGAGACCTCTTCATGGTCCTCAGACCCTGCCCTGCACCCCTCTTCTCATTCTCCTTTTGGGTGACTGAATCACAACATCCACCAGCCTGGTCCTCTAAATGCTCGACTGAATATTTACACTGTTTCTCACATCTCGGTGCCAAAACTGAGCATTCTCCACACCCCAAGGCAGAAACTTAAGTCTATGTATGTTATTGGGGTTTGAACTCAAGGCCTAACAGTTGCTAGGCAGGCGCTCTACCACTTGAGCCACTCCACCAGCCCTTTTTTGTGTTGGGTATTATCAAGATATTGTCTCTCAAGTATTTGCCCAGGCTAGCTTTGAACTGCAGTCCTCCTGATCTCTGCCTCCTAAGTAGCTAGGATTATAGGTGTGAGCCAATGATGCCCAGCTAGAAACATAAAATCTTCCTGAGCTGTTCCTCTATCTCCCCAGAGCTCTACTCAGCTACTCAGCATCTCTGTAGGACAGCACTCATCTTTCCCATACTCTTAAATCCACAGTCACCCAGTCCTGGAGTCCACTTCCAGAGGGCTTCGTCAGATCCTGTCCCACTCCGGTTTGGGCTTCCAATTCTGAGCCAGTGAGCACTTGAGATCTTTTCTGGCACTTTGTGATCTGGCCCCACCAACCTCAGCCAGATGAACTTCTGGTGGGATTTTCAACAAGTGGGCTGGGCACTCTGCTAAACATGGTAATGACCTGGCTCTTACCTTCCAATCTCTGCTCAAACTTTCTTTCATTCATACGCACATTCATTCAAATATCCTTTGAGTGCCTCCTAGGTACCCAACATGCCCTAGGCACTGGGGACACAGCATAAGACACGAAAGGTTGCAGTTCTCCGGGCACTAACATTCTAGTGGAGGAGCCAAGCCATGGATAAGCAAGTCAATAACCACGATGTTTTCCAAATAGGAAAAGTAAGAAAGAGGAACAGAGTGGAGGGTGGCAAGGGCAGAAACAAGCAGAAGAGCGAGGTGACTCCTACCGTGATGCAGGGGAGCAATAATGGTGACTCAGAGCACAGTGAAAACAGCAGAGGTGGAGAGATGGGACTCAACACAGACTTGGCTGAGGGAAAAAGGTGAATAAGAGAAGAGAGGACTCCCCAACTCCAAGGTATTTTAGCTTAAGCACTTGGAAAGACAGTGGAGCCCATCTGGTGGAGAGGAGTGAGGTTGGGCAAGAAGGGGAAAACAGTATGAGTTTAGGGCAAAGAATCTGTAATTTCATTAGGACGTTCTCTGCTGTGGGAAGTTTCCTAAGCTGAGTCTGGCGTCTCCTTTGGGCCGCCGGGACGCCCTTCGTCCAGCCCCGACCACTTGGGGTCGTTCCCAGGGCACAGGAGGACGCGCTCGCGTCGCACCCGGTTGGAGGACAAGAGCGAGAAGGGAAATAAGCCGAACCCGGCCCTCAGGGTCCAAAGCGGGTCAGCAGGTAAAACAGCTATTAGGGCATTCCCGTCCAGAAAGAGGTGTTGAGAGATCACAGAGAAGAGTGCCATTCTGCCTACCAGAATGTGGAAGAGAAATAAAAAGACGTTCAATTCCGACACGCAAGGGCGACAAAGGGCGGAGACTCGCGCGCTGCGAGAATGGGTGCTCACCTAGGCAGAACCCACGCTGGAAGGTCCCCGCTCCAAGAAAAAGCGGAAGTAGATGAAAGAACTATAATTCCCAGAAGGCCCTGGGCCGACCCGCCTGCCTACGACTCCCAGGTGCCTATGGGTCGCTTGGAGCCAAAACGCTTTTCTGCTACGAGACAGACTTGGCCTACAACTCCCTCCGACACTCGCGGCAACTTTGCCTGCTCCGCCCACCGCTCCCAGAGTGCACTAGGCCCGTCCGCTCCGTTTTCTGTTGCGCAGCGCCATGTGTGGCGTTTGTTTTCAACATGGCGCTGGGCAGTTTGTTCCAAAGATAAAGTGGACGTTTTTTAGATTGTTTTCTGGTCTCGTGGGGGTATAAAAGTTTGCAGTGTGCAAGGAGGGAAAAAGGCAAAGAAAGTGGATGCGAGGGTGGAAGGGGAGGCTAGCGCCTGCGCTGAATACACTCAAGGGGATGCGGTTGGGCTTCTGCAGCCATGGCGACGGGTGTGTGCAGGGTCGAGCGGCGGAGGCCGAAGGTTTCGGGTCACTGCGTGCGCGGATCGGTTTGCGGGTCTCTACGCGTGCTGTGGACTCGGGACTTGGAGGCGGTAGACAGTTACACGCAGTCTTCCGTCTGCCCTGCCGTGGACTCCTGCCAGGTGAAGTTGAAGTCTGAGGTCAGGATTGAGAGCCAGATCCCAAAACCAGGGACCAGAACGCTCTCCCTATAGTTCGGTGGAGCTTTGCGTCCCAGGCCCGAGCCCTAGACCCTCAACCTCCTTCTAACTCCCAAACTGCCCCCTTCTTCTGTATATTCTAAGACTTTGTCTTCTGTGAGACCGCAATAAGGAGGATTGAGAGTGAAAGGTGATGGGGGCGTGCCTCAGATGTCTCAAGGGTTGAACTCTGGTGTTTGGGGGTCCTCACGCCCTGCCTTCTGGTAAGCAGTTGTATGGGGCCTAGCCCAGGAGGTAAACTCAATGTGGAGGTCCCAGATGTTAAGGGCTACAGGAGCCCAGAGATTATCAGTACTGAAAGCCAGGATATGGTGGGAAACAACAGCACTTAATGAACAGTTAGCTTGTGCCAGATACAATGCTCTGCACCTTGCCTGCATTCTCTCAGCTTCCTCATCTATAAAATAGGCATACTACTACTGCTTGCCTCAAAGTGTGTGTGATGATAAACCTGTTCACATGAAGTGTTTGCAACAGTCCTCAACTTTATTTTCATCTCATTTAGTCCCCATAACCAGAGATGACTTTTTTTTTCCCCCTGAGGCAGGCCTAAGTTTTAGCTCTTTTAGAGTAAGCAGTGAGATGAGAATTTCAAAACTTTAGGTAAGTTAGTCTAAGACACTGGTCCCCAACCAGGGAGGTTAGGGATGATTTGGTTCTCAGAAAATTTTTGGTAATGTCTAGAAACGTTGGTTGTTGTAGAGTAGAGAGGGAAGGGGTGGGGCTGGCATCTAGGAGGCAGGGACTGGAATGCTGCTGAGTCACCTTGGCTCTTCAGGTGACAAGACACACTTTGCAAAACAGCAGCCTTTCCTGTCTCAACACTAGGTGAGGGAGTCTCCAAATGTGATTCTGTACGCCCTCATCCTGGAGGACGTGTAACAGTTGCTATGTTGGCTCCATGGAAACCATCATTTGCATTTGACTCCTGCAGGAAGAATCATGCTCTGGGACCAGGAGACCACACATACCATCTAGGACTCTTCATTCCTCCAGTCTCACCAACACCCAACTCCCTCTCCCTGACCCGGATGATCCTTCATGACTTAACCCTGGTCAGCACTCTGAAATTCTTCCCCTTCCCACCGCAGGGTCTTGACACTTGCTGTTCCCCCTACCAGAAACACATGCCATGGTTGTCTCCGCATCTTACAGGTCTTGGATTAAATGTCACCTCCCCAGCCACCCTAGCCTTATATTATTCCTTTATTCTACTCCATTACTCCTTTTACTTATTTTGGTATCACTCTCACAAATGTTTTGTCCTCTTGTCTTTCCCAGCAGAATATAGGTTTCATGGGAGCAGAGATTATTGATTGTGTTTGTGGCTTTATCCTTATAGCTGCTTAGTAAACATAGATGAATAAATAAATGAACACTCAGTCCTTGGACTGGGTGATGCTGGGGACTCACAGACTTGCCCTCACAAGACTTCCAGGCTGGTGAGGGAGAGAGACCTGGACATATATCATTCCTGGTGATTAGAGATGTGACAGCAAAGATACCAGGGCCTAGGAGAGCCCAGATGGAGTACAAGAGAGCCAGGGACTTGGACAACACTCTCTAGACAAGTAGTACCTATGATGACTTATGAAAGATGAGCAGGAATTCATTGAGGGAGAGAAGAGCCTCTGTCTGCATTAACTCATCCATCCATTTCCTGGGGTCTCATGTGCTCAGAAATGTGGGGGACCTCAGCAAGTGTTTGATGGGGGAGATTGCTCAGATAGTCATAATCCAGGATAGACTGTAGCAGAGGGAGGCCACTGAACTGTGGAAACTGGTAGAGGCCACTTGATATTCGGGGGTGGAAGAGAAAAAGTATGCAAAATGAGCCAAAGTAGTGTAGGAGCCTTTCATACCAGATGCTAGAGATGTTGGAGAATCTGACCCAGTGCCAAAATAATGCTGAGCCCATGTCACACTCCAAGCTATGCACATTGCATGGCCTACCACTACAACCCCAAAAGACTGATCCAGCCATAAGCCCTACTTTACAAAGAAGCTCAGATTTAGAGATGTCAAGTGCTCACTAGGGAAGCAGCACATCTGGTGTCCAGTATTACCAGAGAGTTTGGAGGGAGTCAGAGTGACAGAGGAGAGACTGTCAATATGCACAAGGCAGCCTCTCATTCTGGCTTCCCTTCTGTGGCACCTGCAAAGCCAGTAAGGGAAGACTGGACTGAGCCCCAAGGAGCTCTGAGCAAAAGTGACAGGTTTGCAGAGTGGGAGCAATGACCTTCTGTTTCTTTTTCCCTAGTATGGAAAAGCAGAGAGGGCTCCTGTTATTTTTGGGCATACAACTGCTGCTTATGGGTGCATTCCTCTACCAAAACCACTACCGCCGAGATGTCACCTCCTTTTTGCGCCTCCTAATACAAAGCAGGCCAAAGGTGGGAGAAGAGCTGCCTTTTTTGGTCCATGGCTCCTCTCCAGGAATCCCTCGCCAGGACGTCTATTCCAACCTCAGCCAGATCCACTCTGTAGACATCCGTGAGGAGGATCTGCCCAACTGCTCCATCATCTCACCCTACATCAGTAAGCTTGGGGTGGGCCTTCTACACCCCCTAACCCCACCTCATATTGCAGGGAGCTGGAAATAATCCCTGGGGAGTGGAGTAGAACCTAGATGTAGAGAGCAGTGGACCTGGTGGCTGCTGGTGATGGAGTGTGTTCTGGTTACCTGTGGCTACAACACAACAAATCACCCCAATAATTAGTGTCTTTGAGCAAACAAACACTTTGAGAGGTTGCAGAGTTTATGTGACTCAGGAATTTTTGGAAAGGCTCAGCTGGGTGGTTGGCGTCCACGTTTTCATGCAGTTGAGATGTGACTGGAGTTGGAACCTCAGGGGACAATGCCCTTGGAACTGGCTGAGTATCTCTTTTTTTCCCCCGGCTACTGGAGATTGAGCTCAGGTCCTTGAGTTTACTAGACAGGCACTGTACCACTTGAGCCATGCCCCCAGTCCAGTATCTCACTCTTTATATCCATCATGGCCATCTCAGGGCCTCTCCAGTTAGTCTCTCTTTTTGGGCTCCTTTGGCTTCTTCAAAGCATGGGGATCTCAGTGAATCAAATTCTTACATAGCAGATAAAGGTTTCAATAGCAAGTATTCATATAAATGAGGAAGAAGCTGACCTTTTTTGATACAGACTCAAAAACCATATAGCTTTGCTTCTGCCTTATGGTATCCACTAAAACAAGAATAAATAAAAACTCACCTAACTTCAAGATGTTGGGAACACAGACTCGCCACTCAATACAGAAGAGTCAATTTTACATTATAAGAACAGCATGCTGAATAAGAGCTATTATTGCCATCTTTGAAAAAATATCTGATTCAGAAGAGGAATGGGGCATGACTGGATGTCCTCAGTGAGAGAGTGGGAGATCTGAGAACTATCCACAGGAAACATCTGGGAGCTAATATTTGGGAACATTGGTCCATGGGAAGAAAAGCAGCAGGTCCTCACCTGCTTGCTGAGAAAAGAGTGAGACACATGGGAGCTAGAGTAAGGCCAAGGGCCATATGTAATCAGGAATTGGGGGATGAGATAAGAATGACAGGAGGAAGTACTGATAGGTGGCAGGAGAAGCAGGAGCACAGGCATCTGAGTCCACATGGGTGTCCCAGAACCCTTCATACTGGAACATTCCTGGGTGGATTAAAACAACAGAAATTTATTGTCTCACCACTTTGGAGGCCAGAATTCTGAAATAAAGGTATTGGCAAGCGTTGGTTCTTTCTGGAGACTCTTGGAAAAGGAACCCTCCTAATTTCTGGTGTGTGCCAGCAATACTTGGTACTGCAGGGCTTGGAGGCATGCCACTCTAATCTGTCTCCATGGTTGGTCTTCCTTTTCTGTTCTTTTTTGTTTTGTTTTGGCTTCTTTGAGACCAAATCTCACTATGAAGCTGAGGCTGACCTGGATCTCACGTTGTAACCCAAGCTAGCCTCAAGCTCATGATCCTCCTGCCTCAGCTTCCTGAGTGCTGGGATTGCAAGCATGGACAACCACACCTGCCTTCTTTCTTCTCTCCAGGTCTTCCCAAGGCTTTCTTATAAGGATACCTATTATTGGATATAGGGTGCACACTGATCCATGTTACCAAGTTACATCTGTGAATACCCATTTCCAATAAGACCACTTACTATTTCCAATAAGGCCACATTCTGAGGTTCTGGAAGGACATGAATGAGAACGCACTAGTCAACCCAGCACAACTTGCAAGTTTGCTGGGGTAGGTGCTTGGACATTCTGATGTTCTACATCTCTCTCAGATGGTCCCTTGAAGGTGATGATCCCAGAGAACCTGACAATGGAGAAGGTGGTGGAGAAGAACCCATTAGTGAGGCTGGGAGGCCAGTACTGGCCACACGGCAGTGGTGGTACCCTACTATGGGCAAGCCCAACACCTGCAGCACCTTCTCTTCCATCTTCACCCCTTCTTGCAGCGCCAGCAACTGCACTATGCCATCTATGTGGTGAACCAGGTGAGGCAGGAGTGGCAAGGGCAGAAGGATCTGAGCATGACTTTGGAGAGTCAGGGTTGAAGTTAGTGCTCTGAGGTGAGTGTCAGGGTCAGAGAGTGTCTGCAGTGGGGGGAGGCTAGATCTGTGAATCAAGAAGAACTTGAATTGGGGGAATTTTGAGCCCATGGGTTTAATTTGTGTTTAGACTTGTTGTGTCTGGGATCAGCTTGAATGGCTGAGACAAAGACTCAGTCCTGCTGAATCTGGGCCTCTTTGAGACCAGGGCTGGTCAGCTTGAGCCTACTGTGTGGTAGGAAGGATTCACTGAGTTAATGAATATAGAGCAGTCAGGTCAATGCCTAGTACAAGGTCTAAGTGCTCAGTAAATGGCAGCAATGATGACAATGACTGTAATGGTATGATGATGAAGACGACGATTTTGAAGACAATGTTGCTGGTGGTGATGCTGGTGGCGACACTGAAGATGGAGTAGTGGAGGGAGTGTGTTGGTAATGTTGATAATGGAAGTGAAGTGACAATATTGACAGTGTTGAAGATAATGTGATCATGATTATGGCAACAGTGATTCTGATGCTAATGGTGAACATGATATTGATTGTGATGTTGGTACTGATTAAGGTGATAATGAAGAAGGTGAGGGAAGGGGGGTGATATCCTGAGGGTCACATGAAATGGGAGAAAGAGGAGAGTCAAATCCTATAGTGGTTTCTGGGCCTCGGACCTAGTCTTTGTCTGAAGACAGCAGAAACAGACATAGGTAGTACCTCATCACTCCTCCCATCAGCCTTCCTCAGATGGCCTCTTGAAGATTATGAAACTTTGAGAACCTTGAAGATGTCCAGAGGCGAGAAAGTGAAGATGCTGAAGTAACTGACTGGGATGAGGGTGGGATCCAAGAAAAGTTTTCCAGGGAAGGAAACTTTGAACTGCATCTTTCTGGTCAAGTATGGGGCTCTCATTCCACAGTGGGAATGAGGTGTTCCAGGTTGGGGAATGGTACTTGGAACCTGAGAGGAGCAACCTGGCAGGTAAGGGACGACTACTGTCTGATGGTGAAGGTGACACTGACATCTATGTCCACCCCAGGTAAAAAACACTACCTTTAACCGGGGCAAGCTACGCAATGTGGGATTCTGGGAGGCCATGCAGGAGGAAGACTGGGATTGTATCTTCTTCCATGATGTGAACCTACTCCCAGAGGATGACCGCAACCTCTATACTTGTGACATCTTCCCCGCCCATGTATCTGTGGCCATTGACAAGTTCAACTACAAGTAGGTGGAGAGGAGGGGACCTCTTGTGAGAGACTACTGCAAAGGCCCTGACTTTCCCTGCATCTCACCCTTCCCATCTGTACAGTGAAGTCAAGGTCAGGCTCTGGTCCCTGGAGCTAAAGTTGTAGGAAGGCAGGGCTGTTACAGAGGTTGGAAGGGGGAAATGAGAGGAGGGTCTAACCAGGGATGAGGTTTTGGAGAGAGGGGGCCATCAGTTGAGGTCACGTGATGAATCTATCAGATGACTAGGGAAGGGGGATATCCCAGGGATCACAGGAGGGTTAGAGTGAAGCTAAACCCAGGACCAGGCAAGGATATACACTAGTCTTCAAGGGGGAGACTATCACAGATCTTGAGAGAAGTTACCACAGAGCTTAATGGAAAAGGATTCACCCAGAAATGAACCTTGGAGATCCTGGCCAGCAGGATCTCTGTTGCCTGAAATGCCTTGTGCTTTCAATGTTATCTGCCTCTCTAGGCTACCCTACCAAGGCTACCTTGGAGGAGTGTTTGCCCTGCGCCCCATTCACTACCTGAGGATAAATGGCTTCTCCAATGCAAACTGGGGCTGGGAAGATGAGGATAATGACATTGCTGCCAGGTGAGGGACTCTGCTCCAGGGAGCCAAGCAGAAGGGGCTCAGAGTCCCATGATGTGGGGGACACAGGATGTCCTGGACCGAGGGTGATATGGGCTGCCCTGGGATTGGACTGGGGAGGTGGGCTGTGGCACAGTCAGATGACACAAGGGCCTGGCCTCCATACCTTTTGCTCTGTCCCTGGAAGGGTGAAACTTAGTGGGATGCTCCTCTCACGGCCCCACCTACTGTTTGGGCGCTACCACATATTGGAGGGACAGGATCCTGGCTACAAGCAAAGTTCCCAGAGGTGAGTCAGTGTTGGGGGGGTGGGGCAGATGGCTTTGGACCCTTCCTAAAGACTGGGCTCCTGTGACTGCTTCTTCCCCTCTCCAGGTCCGGTCTTTTGGCTAGGATCCGCCAATGGTGGCAAGATGATGGCACCAACTCACTGGGCTACAGGCTGCTCTCTAAGGAGTGGTGGCCCCTCTACACCAACCTCACTGTGGACATCAACTTCCAAACCTTAGAAGCCCCAGTGTCTATTCGAGGAATATCTAGAGGGTGGGAAGGAGCTCCTGAAGCCAGGGTTTTCAGGGCAGCCCGATAATCCATCCTACCTGTTTTTTTAATTAAAGTTTATTTTACTCAATTCTCCTCTCTGCCATTCCTAATTACCACTCATCCATCCACCCATTTGCTCGCCCATCCATCTATCAATCCATTTACCCACCTATCCATCTATCCATCTACCCATCCACTCAGTCATCCATCCATCCATTTTCTTTCTTCCTCTCTTCCTACTCATTCTGCCATATCCAGGGGGGCCTTCTTACCAAACTGTAATAAGGCCAGGAAAAGTTCTCTTCAAGTGAGTGTGCTGAAAACGGGAATGAGAATTTTATGGTAAACAGTGTGCATAAGGAAAGTTCTGATCCAGCTTCATGTTGAATAATGGAATTCAATTTCTGAAAGCATCCTCATTTCAGATTTAATGAAACTCCACATTTAGTGAGTTGTAAGGACAAACATTTGTGGACTGCACATGGTGGACAGCCATCACGCTTGTGTTTATATGATTAATGCATGCAATTCACAAAGGAGGCCATCAGGTAAGAATTACTATCACTCCCATTGTGCAGCTGAGGAAATACAGAACAAAGAGGTTAAATCATCTGCCACCAGGCTAGTGAGAAGCACACCTAGGATGTGCAGCATCAGTTAGACCCTGACCCCAACTGCGAACACCCCCAAATCTTGTGTTGATTCTTAGAACTATCAAAGGATAGACCAAATCAATTTTGGGGGGGGTGGGGTATTTTTAAAATTATTTAAATCACATATTTTATTATTGTTAATCATATGATTTGAAATATGACATTCCGTGTTTCACTATAGCTTTCACTGCCCAATAATAAAGAAGGTTATGGGAAGATAGGTAGCCTGGGGGGTTTTATCATGACTAGATTGTAGATTTTTTTGGTCTTAGGAAGAGTTGTACCAAATTCATTCTCATTCTTATTCATGTCTTCCTTCCCTTCTCCTCGCCTCTCTTCTCTTTTTCTCTTCCCCCCCTCCTTTCTCTCTCTGACAGGATCTTGCAGTATAATCTAGGCTAGTCTCAAACTCATGATCCTTCTGCTTCACCGTCTGCATACTGGAATTGCACGCATGTGCCACCATGCCCAGTTTCTATCACATTCTTTAGACCTCAGTTTCTCATCTCTGAAATGGGGGTAGATTACCTCCTACAATGGTGGTGAGAAATGAATGAGTTAATTAACACAAGTTCCTTAACAGTAGTAGCTGCTGCCTCTGGAAATTCAATTAAAATGCAGAATCCCTCAATCTCACTTTGAGGTATTCATCTCTTAGTTCTCAAAGTCAACAGACCCATTCAGAAAGATTTGGACAGGCCCTCACATGAGTGAAAACCTCAGATTTCTCCCTACATTAACTCCAAAACTAGTCACCCCACCACTCTCCAGATTGTTTAGTCTATGCTCCAACCAGAACTAAGTACCAAATGGCTGCTCCCAAGGATCACTACTGAGAGAAAAAAAAAAGAGAATAATAAAAGGGTCAGAGACTGGAGGGACTGCGCAGGGGAGTGTGGAGGCAGGGGAGAAAAGGGAAGGAAGAAGGGAACAAGGAGTTGTGGACAATAGGCCTGGCAAGAAGTGTGAGGTCAAAGGTGTGGGATGCCAGGAAGGGACAGCCTTCTTTAAGAGGAAGTGCCTGCCCTAAGAGGTGGTTAGGAAGGGTCATGTGAGGAATGAACACCTTGCTGGAATGAGGCCCCAAGAGTGGGCCTCCAATTAATGTTTAGGGACAGGGAAAGCCCAGGTCAGAGGGTGTGGTCTTAGAAACCCTTTGCCTGTCTCTCCACTGTGTGCTTAAGATTAAATGAGGTCTGGATCTAGGGCTCTCATTAGTTTCCCTAAAAGTGGATGGTGCACCACCCTGAGCTCCAGGGCACACTATTTTCTTCATATTATCCAGATCCCTTCATCACCAGAGAGATCTCTGAGGCTCCCCTCCCAACTGAAGCATGAACACAAGCCTTAAGCCTGGAAGTCCAGGTGAGACTTGGTTTTCCACTGTGATGTGGAGGTGAAACATGTCACTGGCATTACCTCCTGGACAGGGAGAGACCAGTGAGACACAAACAGGACACATTTATCTCCAGAGCCCAACGTGGGTCACTGAATTTAGGCCTGTGCTCACTTCTGACCAGCTATGTGGGAATCCTCCTTGAAAGGGCCGGAACTGAGGCTGTTGGTCTGACCTTCAATACCCTCTCAGATGTAAAAAAGACTCAAAGCAAACTATTATCTTCCACTGCAGTTCCTTCACCCCGCCCAGTATTGTCCAGGTATGCTTAGGAACGTGGGGTCCCCCTAAAGTTCTCTGAGTACTTGGCTTCCCAGTGAAGCTACAAGGGCTTAGCACACTCATGTGAATAAAGCACAATTACAGTCTTCCTTGTGTAGATGAAAAACCAGTACAGGTAAGACAAATGATTTTTGGCAGATGGACAGTGGAACTGGGAATCAGATCCAGGAACCTGGCTTCTTGGCCTGACCACTTAAGATTATGCTGCTCTGGTTTTCATAAGTATAACAGGATTTTTAAGGCAAAAATTGTAAAAGAGAGAATAATAAAAAATGAAGGAATGATTGAATAAATTATAGCATTTCAAAAAAATAATATGCATAGATAATGATCTGATCTTGTTTTTATTTGAGAAAGGGTCACACTGTGTAGCCCAGGCTAGCCTTGAACTCATGATCCTCCTGTCTCAGCCTCCTGAGTTCTGGGATGACAGGCATGTCACCACACCTGTTTATGACCTGATTTTTATAAAATAGATCATAACTCTCAACAATGTTAATGACAAAATAGGTTAATTTGCTCCTAAATCTAATCTTTCTTAGACTGAAAGAGAAACAGAATAGCTAGGCGGGAGACAGCTCAAACACTAGCACAGGGTTTATTTGGGAAGGAACCCTGCAGAGGGGAGTAGCTAGACAAAGCCAGAACCCCACTGCCTCTTACCGACTTGGAGTAGATATAGGGGAGGGGTGTGGAGGGGAAGTTTAGCTGGGTAGGAAAATTGCTAGGGGAAGCTAAAGAAAATAAGTGATAATTAGGTAGGTTAGTTGCTCAACCAGCTCCAGACACCCCCCACCAACTGCCAGCAAGGTGAGAATTTGTCACTCCTGGAGACCAGGTGTGGTTCTTCCTGTAAGTGGTGGGGTGTCTCCAGCAAGCTGCCTGCAAGGGTGTGTGTGTAGGGGGTCCAATCTTAACATGACGTCTCTATGTTCATCCTAACAATTCTCACACCTACACCCCCACTAAGCTCGCTTCATTTGCTCCTTTGTTCCAATCAAAACTGCTTCATGAAGCAAATCTCACACTGTGCCTTGAAAATTAACTCCCAATGTCACCCTACCTCCAGGGTGAGACCAATTCCTTTGAACCCCAAAAGCAGTTCCTCTCTACATCCCATGTTGATAGCTGTTTCAGGCAGTCTTCCATTAAACAGACAGGATGAATGCACCCAGGCAATTCCTTTCACATCTCACACCATAGTCCTCTACATGTGATTTTTTATTACACTCTCTGCCCCTTTCAGCTTACCTCGGTATATATTGAAACTATCCTAAAATAGGGCACAACATTCTCTTCTGTCTTCAGAAATTCAACATATTTTTAATATGCATGGTGTTCTTGGGTTTAACATAGATGTGATGAATGGAACACGGCCAGGTGTAGACACCTAGGTTGCCTCCTCCTCCCAGTTTCTACAACTAATTCTGCAATACATTATGTTGTAAATGTGGAGTGGGAGCCAATAGAAAACTTTCTCAAAGGTGAATACTTGGTGAACTCAACCATTTTGTTCTTATGATGGGTTGCACCAATCTACACTCCCCTGTTCAAATGCACAAGAATTTGTATTTTGCATTTTGTCTTTTCTCCTTAATTGTGGTGCCTCTAGCTTGGTGCTCTGTATGTTTCTCTGGTCCTTTTGTCCAGGTCCTTAAAGGCCCGTCCATCCTGAACGCTCAGTCTTCATGTTTGTATTGTGCCTCCAGTTCCTGGACTTAAACAGTTTCCTGCTGCCTTATTTAGCTATGTGGAGGATGGTTCCCATTAGATGACTTCTTTCCTTAATTTTGGGAGTTCAGAAATTGGAATATCCTCATCTAAATGAGAAATTCTCCATCTGACAAATTTTATCAGTTTTTTCTGCCCTTCTGGACTCTTCTATCTCTGTCCTCTAACTGATTACTTTGGAGTTCCTACCCACTTTTCTTTTTGAATACACAGTTTGTATGGCTCTTTTCTTAATCCCTGTGGTATCAATACAAACCACAGCTTCTTATTTTCTTATTTAGACTATTGCTAAAGAGATTTCTGGATTCCACTTGTTTGTGAGTTCAGTCAAGATGCCACTGACAGATATTATTACACCAAACATTGCTATCTTGCTGATTTCTTTCAATAGGTTTTGCAGATATATAGTTATCCCTTATTATATAGAATTCATATAGAAGTTCTCACAGCCACATATTTCCCACTTAAAAATACACCTGAGCAGTTTTCATCACTCATGCTCTGATCACTGTCATGTTTTGTTAGTGTCTATGAGGTATGTGGTCCACTTTGCATACAGTCTGTTGAGAAGTGTGTGCTTTTCCCTCCTTAATTTCCATTACATTCTTGTTAAGTCTGGAACACCATTTACCATAAAAGATACTGAATTTCTGAAGATAGACGGAAGAGAATGTGTTGCCCTTCTTTCAAAGGATATTTTTAAAATCCATAGAGGTAAATTGAAAGGAACAGAGATTATAATCAGATGTAGAGAAGTATAGTATGAAATGTGGTTTGTATCTGCCTTTGTGCTTCATTGCTGTCTGTGTAATAGAGGACTGCTTGAAACACAGCTATCAACATGGGAATATAAAGAAGAAGTGCTTTTTCTTTTGCATTTTTTTCTGGTGGGGCTGGGGTTTGAACCTAGGACTTCATGCTTGCAAAGCAGATGCCCTACCACTTGAGCCACCCCTCCAGCCAATTTTGCTCTGGTTATTTTGAAGATGAGGTCTCTCAAACTATTTTCCTGGTCTGGACTAGAACCACAATCCTTCCAATCTCAGCCTCCCAAGTAGCTAGGATTACAGGGATGAACCACAGGCAACTGGGAAGTACTTTTGAGGTTCAGAGAAAAATTGCCTCACTCTACAGCTGGGGTGGTATTGGGAGTTAATTTTATAGCACAATGTGTGTTACTGCTTCATGAAGCAGTTCTGAAGTGGAATGAAGCTGCAGATGAAGCGAGCTTAGTAGAGGTGGAGGACACGGGTATATGCTTGGATTTGGGAGTAAATTGAACTTTTTTGCATCAATATTGTTAAGACGCATTGGAGAGTTATGGAAACACATTCCAGCATAGTTTTGATAGCTTACATTGGATATTTGGGGCAGTAATTTAAGTATGATCAGGTAAGAATTTATGACCTGTACAAAGTGAAAAAATAAAAATGCTCCAGACCTTTTCCTGTGAACACAGTGTACAATCAGCAGAATAAGTTGCCATTTAGGAGTGAAAAATGCAACAAAGTTACCCTGGTTAAAAACTACACCAATGACATGAATAGAAATTTCTCCAAAGAATAGCAGAGAGCAACAAGCTTAGAAAGAGATGCTTAACATCAATAATGATTAGGGAAACAAACCAAAACCACACTGAGGTACCCCTCACACCCATTAGAATGGCTAATCTGACATGATCAGGAGACAATAACAAGTATTGGTGAGGAGGAGGAGAAATTAGAATCCTTGTGCATTGCTGGTGGGAATGTAAAATGTTGCAGCTACTGTGAAAAACAGTGTGGTCGTGCCTCAAAAAGTAAACATAGAATGTCACATGATCCAGAAATTCCACTTTAGGGGAGACACCCAAAGGTATTGAAAGCAAAGAGTCAAGCAGGTATTTTCATACTCCTGTTCATTGTGGCATTAGTCCAGAGATGGACAAATTAAGAGACAAAATGTGGTCTCTACATGCAAGAGCATAATACGTAGCTCTGAAAAGGAAGAAAAAATCTGATATATGCTGCAACATGTATGAACCTTAAAGATATTGTGCTTAGTGAAATAAGTCATGCAAAAAAAAAATTGTGCGATTCTATTTCTATGAAGTGCCTCAGTTAACAAACTCACAAAAGCAGGAAGTAGAATGCTACTTGCCAGGGAGAAAGGAGGAAGGAAGTTGTTTGGTGTATATAACATTTAACTGCTCCAGATGTAAAATTTGAGCTAGGCGTGGTGGTACACGCCTGTAATCCCAGCACTCAGGAGGCTGAGGCAGGAGGAACATGAGTTCAAGGCCAGCCTGGGTTATATCTAAAAGAAAAAAGCACTGAATGAGAGGAATTGGCCATATTTGTGCTAGCCTTATTGAGGATTATAGAAATTATTTGCAGAAGAAACCTTGACCAATGCATTAGGTGAGGTCTTTTTACAGAAGATGTTACAACTTGAGTGTCCCTTGTATGAAATGTATGGGTCCAGAAGTTTTAACATTTTGGAAAATTTGCACAGTCTTTACCATTAGAGCATATCTATTCTAGAAATCCAAAATCTAAAATCTAAAGTTGTTCAGTAAAGGAGGTTTTAAAGCCTTTCGGAATTTGGACTTGCAGTAAGCGTGCTCAGCCTTTATTTGCATGAAGTTTGTGGGAAATCATTAATGACAAATCTCTTATTGCGAGATAGTGACATTTTAAATTGTAAACAAAATGAATGATAGGGCACTATGAATGATGTGTGTATATATTTATGTATGATATATGTATATACATGAACATATATGTATATAGTTATTTATATATGATCTGGTCATACATTTCTTATTTAAGGAAAGAGAGAGAGAGAGAGAAGAGAGACACAAATTGCCAGTAACAAGAATGAAATTGTTCTAAGAAGGAGGGGGAGAGGGAAGGGAGAATGATGGAGGGGTGAATCTAAGATACATTGTAAGCATATATGTCAGTATCACAATGTATCCCCTGTACAACTGTCATATGCTAATAAAATAATAATTTAAAAAGAATGAAGGGGAAGCCACTGTGACGCCTACAAATGTTAAAGATAATAAGGGGAAATTTATAAACAAGTCCATGTGAATTTGACAGATAAAATTAAAAATTTTAAAAGAATAAAAGAAGTCTTGCCAATCTACGAATTGCTAAGAGGAAGGATGAAAGATCAAAGTAAATGAATATGTAATGTATTCATGAGCATGATATATATATTCATAAATGGTATGTATATGTCATAAATGGTGTATATATGTGTTCATAAACATTATATATAATATATGAGAGATATATTTGAGAGAGAGAGAGTGAAGAACATGAATTGGAAGACTTAACATAGTTATGGTACCAATTTTTCACAAATTGATCTGCAAATTCAAATCAATCCTAAACAAATCCTCTCAATGACAGCGTTCATAGAAATTGATCAGATGACTCTAAAATTTATGGACAGAAAATTAGAAAGTCTTAAACAGTATTGAAAATTGATAATAAATCCATTACAGGCGAGCCCTGTCACACTCCCTTGGGATTCTCACTGCTTCCTCCATAGCCCTCACCTACACAGCTGTATTCTAAATTAAGTGGCAGGAGTTACTTACTAACAAATGCTGTTGGCTGCCAGCATGGATCCTTCCCAGGCTGGTCATCTTCTCTCTGTGTTTGCTGAGACCACAACACCCAGCAGAGGTGTGTGCATGAGAAAAGCCCTGGAGGCTTGAAGAGCTGGTCACGTCCTGCCACAGTGAGGGAACAGATGTCTGGAGTGAGTCATGGAGGCCAGAGGGCAGCGCAGCATAGGAGGTGCTTGCTCTCTCTCCTTTCATTCTCCACATAGTCTGTTCTACAGAAATCACAGTCATCCTCAGTGTGTGCTCACAAACCTCCACGGTGTCGTGTGTGGTATCTCATGTACTCTCACCACCTGTCACCCTGGAGTCCTGGTAACATCTTTTCTGCCAATTCCTTCCCAGAAACTCAAAGTCAGCCTGAGAAGGAGCAGGCTCCCCCACTTTCTGTCTGTGTGTTCCCCATCACAGTTTGTGACTGCTGACTTGTCCTGGTCCTTGCAAGACTGTAAGGACAGTGACCTCCTCCTATCTCTTCTTCCCAGAGGACAGTAGTACACATCTCCACACATTTGTAACAATGAATGATTGAATGAATGAATGAAATGGAAGAAACATCAATAAACTTAAGGATTCAGGAAGGTTAAAATTAAAGATGGCTGGAACTGGGCATGGTACACACATGTGTAATCCTAGCACTTGGCAGAGTGATGCAGAAGGATCATAAGTTCCAGGCCAGCTGGGGCTAAATATTAAAAAAAAATTAGTCATCCTACACCAAAAGTGAATATTCACAGAGTTCTAGTGCCTTTCACAGAAGCTCCTGATTCTGAAACTTTGTGTCTCCCCACTGGGTGGTGACTCCCAGAGGACAGTGTCCAGGTCTGCTGTGTTGACTCACTGTGCAGAGAGGCTGATGATGGAGGGAGGAGAGTGCTGCTTACCCAAGTCCTAGTCTCCTGTCAATTCCAGGAATGTTGACAATCACAGGGGTGATTCAGGGATCCTTCAGAGGGGAACGATTTTCACAGTGTATAAAATAGCCAAGGAGAAGGACATCAACAGGGAGGGAGGAGATGGGTTCAGGCCCTGCCAGAGGGATTTGAGGAGAGTCTCTCTCCCACTGTGGCCTCAGGGTCCCCAGGAGTGGCCATGGGTGGTAGGCAACTGAGCTCCCAGGGCTGACAGGAAGAGTTCCTCCTCTGAGGGCACTGTCCTGACCTCCCCCTTTTCTTTGGGTCCTCCTCCAAGCCGAGCCTTGCAACTCTTAGTTCCTCAGAGAAGAGCCAGAAGAAGCAGATATTGAATGGAGTCCCTGCAGCTCAAGGCTAGGCTGCTGCCACCACTATTGCTGCTGCTCTGGAGGCGGGATGGGGTGGAGAGTGGGAGGGAGGCCAAGGGTGGCTTTACCCTACAGGTGCAGCAGCTGGTGATTGTGCAGGAGGGTCTGTGTGTCCATGTGCCCTGTGACTTCTCCTATCCCTGGAAGGCTGGACTGACTCGGACCCAGTTTACGGCTACTGGTACCGGAAAAGGGCCACTGGAAGCCAGAACACTTTGGTGGCCACAGATGACCCATATCTACAAGTGCAGGAGGCAGCCAAGGGCTGATTCTATCTGCTTGGGGACCCCCAAGTCAACAGCTGCTCCCTGGACATCAGAGATGCCAGGAAGAAGGACCAGGGGGCATACTTGTTTAGGGTGGAGAGAGGAGATTTAAAAGGGAGTTATGCTTTGAACCAGCTGTTTGTGCAGATGGCAGGTAAGTCACAGCTCCAGGTAGGCCACAGGGGAAGGTCACTGAGGCTGCAGGGCAGGGCTGGAATGGGGAAGGATTGGGGTTCTAACATGAGGGGCTCATGGGAGGAGCAGGATCAGTATCTGCTCTTCTCTCAGGATCACACATTGGACCCTCCCTCCTGACTCTGTGTCCCCCTCTCCTCACCAGCCCTGACACAACCCCCTCACATCCACATCCCAGGGCCCCTGGAGCCTGGCCGTCCCAGCAACCTGACCTGCTCTGTGCCCTGGGCCTGTGAGCAGGGGACGCTGCTCATCTTCTCCTGGATGTCAGTTGCCCTCACCTCCCTGGGCCCCAAGACCACCCTCTCCTCAGTGCTCACCCTCATCCCCCAGGCTCAGGACCATGGCACCAACCTCACCTGCCAGGTGACCTTCCCTGGAGCTGATGTGACTGTGGAGAGATCCGTCCAGCTCAATGTGTCCTGTGAGTGCTGGGTTGGGACACCTGGGTCTTTGATGTAGAGGGAACACTGAGGGCAGTGTGGTTAGGGGTCAGGGCCTGGAAACAGGTTGATGAGTCTTGGAACCTGGGAGGGGCAGGTCAGGAGGATGCAGCCTCCACACCCCCATTTGCATAGCTCCTGGGGACAGAGGGGTGATATCCACCCAGCCTGACGGCTGATGACCTGCCATGTTTTCCTGTCTCAGACTCTCCACAGAACCTGACCATGACCATCAGTTGAGGATCTGGCCCAGGTAGGTAGAAGCCTCCTGGGCTGAGGATCCAGGGCATCTTCAGCTCAGGAAAGGGAGGGCCTCTTCATCCTGGTCTCACCCTGCTGCCAGAGACAGCAGGGTGTCTCTGCTGTCTGCTTCTTGGGAAGCCAGTGTTTCCTCCCCATCCTCAGCATCCTCAGCCACTTAAGCCCCTGTCCCCACCCATCCCTCACATCCTCAGACTCCTACACAACCTCTAGGCCACCATGGGACATTGACACAACAAAACTGAACCCTCCGGGCCCTTCTCGTCCATTTGTGGATCTACCTCCAGCCTCCTCTCTTTCTCCCCCAATGGCTGTGATCTAATTGCTTGTGGAAGGAGACACGGTCACATGGCAAACACTCAGAACACATGCACAGCAGTCTTTTCCCAGAAGCTCAGTCCCCTTCCTAGAAGTGACTAGTGTCCTCATAGGCTGTGTTGAGCCTTCGTTTGTCCACCTGAGAATCCGGGAGATCACTGATGGCAGTAGATGGGTGGTCCTTGTTTTCATGATTGTGGTACCCACTGCATGGATGAACCCTGATTCTGTGGGCACCTACTACTAGTAGACAGTGATGGCCCTGATTTCCTTCTACCAGCAGAAATATACAATGCACAGTCTAGAACCTACTTCTTCACGTGTGTGTGTGTGTGTGTGTGTGTGTGATTAATTCCTAAGAAAGGAAAATATCTGATGATATATTCTCTATAATTTTGAGAGGAACAGCAGAATGCTCTCCATCAAACTTATGTTTCCAGCACTGAAAGATGATAGCATGTGTTTCCTGCAGCCTCACTGAACATGACTAGGGTAAAACACTTTCTTGATCATCTCCAATATCAGGTGACAATTGGGATGCCATGGCATCAGGACATGGGCCTCACTTACGCTAGGCAGATGCTCTATCTTTGGAGCAGTTCCTCCAGCCCTTTTGCTTTAGGTTATTTTTCAGATCGGGTCCCTCTTTTGACTTGGGGTCAGCTTCCTCCTACCTATAGACACCACATAGTTAGGATGACAGGCATTTATCTCCATGCCAGCCTTGACTGTTAAGATGGACACTCCCTATCTTTTTGCACAGGCTGGTCTCCAACTGCAATCCTCCTGGTCTCTCCCTCCTGAGTAGCTGAGACTCCAGGCATAAGCCACCATGCCCATCCCTGTTTCTCTTATCTGAACAATGGGCCTCTTTTTTGCCACAAACTAATTATGTTTCTTTTATTCCTGCCACTGCAGTTCTCTTCTTTTCTCACATTTCCAGAGCAATTTGGCTTTTTAATTTATTATTGAAAGCATTTTCCAAGCTAGAGAAATTAACATTTCATGCTGTGCTACTTGCCTTTTCTTGAAGTTCAGTGATTTTTATAATGTGCAGGAATCGATTTTGTAGTAGTCACACCAATCCATCTATTTTTGGTGTATGAGTTCCCCATCTGAGTTTATAAAAACAAACTCTTTCTGCTTGCCCTCCTATGATCTGTTTCAGAATTGCCCCCATACTTCCACCCTGTGCACACCCCTTCCATCCAACCCTGAAGGTCAGTTCCCCTTTCCTTGGATGAGCTTAAGTTTTTCTCAGATGTGCACTCTCTGTTCCCCTTCCTGGAAACCCTTCCCTACTTTCTTCGGCTCCACAGTGTGGACAGAGTCATTAGCATTGCATCCCAGGGATGCTTCTGTCCTGACTTGTCTCTGTCACATGTCACATAGCTTCATGAACACTTACTCCTAAGTCTCCAGCTGACCAGACTGAATTTCTGCCAGGGAGTCTCTTCAGAAACAGACTGATAAATCAGTACCTGGTTTCAGGTGAAAATGTGGATGAAGGATGAGAATCATGAGGGCGAATCTGGCTTCAGGGTTTTCAATGAGAACATCCAGGGATGAGGATTCCAGGGCTGCACTGACAACTTTGTGGGCATCCTGTCAAAGACTGTCCCTCTGTGCTTCCAGGGGCCTGAGTCCAGTAGGACAGAGCCCATCGGGAAGAAAGCTCAGTACAGAAGGCCTTGGGCTTGTACACACTCCCTGTCTCTAGGTCCATCACACAAATCTGGTGTCCTTCTGTCTATGACTTTGTGTTTGAATCCATCCACTACTCAGTCTCCTTCTGTATCCTTCCTTTTCCTCTTGAACTCTGTGCACTTTTTCTTTGACTCTCTATTTCTTCCTCTCCAGCATCTACAGCCCTAAGAAATGACCTGTCATTGACTTTCCTAGAGGGAGAGTCCCTGCATCTTGGGTGTGTTGCTGACAGCGACCCTCCTGCCCTGTTGAGATGGGCCTGGGAGAGCTTCACCCTGAACCCCACACAGCCCTCAAACCTGGAGGTGCTGGGGCCTCCTGAGTGTATTTCAGGGATGAAGGCACATTCACCTGCTGACCTCAAAACTCCCTGGGCTCCCAGCACATCTCCCTGAGCCTGGCCCTGGAGAGTAACTATCAAGGTCTGCTCAAGAGACCAGGAATGGTAGGACCTGCAGCTCAACTCTCTGAGTAAGGAGCTCTGTGGCTCAGCAGGATGAATAAGGTTTGTTCTATTCAGTCTTGAGTCAGCTCTGAAGCTCAGAAGCACCTGTGGCCCTGTCCCCTGTTTTCCATGGATGATGAGGAAGAGAAGCCTAGGCTGATGTGGTGCCATGTCCAGGGATGAGGAAAGTCTGGAGGAGCATATCCAAGGCCAACTGTGAGAGGAAGGATTCAGGCTGTGGTTCAGCAGTTGAATCCAGCTTTGTCCACTTCTCTCAGGGAAGTCAGGGCCCACAGCAGAGGTGGTGCTGGTGGCCATCGAGGAGGCAGCTGTCAAGATCCTGCTTCTTGGCCTCTGCCTCATCTTCCTCAGGTGAGCACTGGTCCTGAGATGAAGAAGAGGCACAAGGAGGTCAGAAGGCTGATGCTGAATCCCAGAGTCACAGTGCTTAGAAAACTGAAGGAGTTGAGAGGGGCAGGCAGGAAGCTGGTGGTGGTGAGAGCTCCACATGGACCAAGTGTTGTCTGTCCCCAGCTGTGGTCCAATGTGGGGAGGTAGGTGGTCCCGCTAAGGAGGTCCTGGGGTTGGACCATCTCTCTCTGCCTTGCTCATCCCTCTGGTCCATGAGCAGGAGGACATAGGGGAGATGGCCACTGTTCATTGCCCCTTGAGTACACACATACCTGGTCTCTTCACTCAGAGTGAGGTCCCCCAGGAAGAAGGTGACAAGGTCTGCAGCCATGGTGGAGAATGCAAACACTGTCACAGATTAGACTCTCAGGTGAGTGACACCATATCAAAGCATCCCACATGCCCCTGGACACCTTGGCAGGGTGACCCAGGTCAACATGGCCACAATTGGGCCACCCCCCACCTTTCCCTGCTGAGGTCACCACAGTGCTCACTGCTTAGTGGCCTCATCAGTGACAAGAATCGTGTGTGGTCCTTTATTTTGAGCTTTCTCCACATCCCTTACCCCATGAATCACTCATTGGTCCTCCTTCCCTCCTAACCCTGGCCCATCCTTGCTGCTTTCACCTTCTTGGTCCTGGTCCTCATATCTTTCTTAATCACTGAACGACCACATCTCTTGCATCCATGTCTCTCCACACCTTCCTCCAGAATTGCTACCACAAGCCGTCCTCCATCATCCAGGTCCTGCACAGTCTGAGAGCCCTGTGTCTCACCATTGACAGAGATGTGGCAATGGCAATGCCACAGGCTGCATTCAGTCCTTGTGGAGTCTGTGCCAGTTGAACTTCCTTACAGAGCCTCCTCTCCCTGGTTCATAAGCCTCCCGCACCCACCTGCCAGCCCTGAAACTCTGCATGGGCAGTTCCTGCTTCTCAGAGCCATCCTCCTCACCTGACTGTCCAGGTCCGGACCACCCTGTCACTCGGGGTGTGTGCCTGTGATGCCTATGGGACTGGGTACAGGATGACTTTCATCCACTCCTTATGGTAAACAATGACTAGACTTTCACTTTAACAGGATGCCTACAGCTTGGTTTTTCAAAACAGACTCGAGCATGTATTTTGGGGACACTTCTGATCCAAATAGAGCCAAGAGAAGTGGCTACTGGGTCCTTGTGGGGAAGGTGATGGTGGTGTGGGCCAGGGACATGCTCCAAGGTGAGAATGTGATTTTGATGTCTATGAAAGTCAGGCCCACCAGGGTCTAAGGGATGAGGTCAGTGAGGAAAAGGGAAGAGCAAGAAGAATGCCAGATCCTTCCCTGGGCAGCAGGAAGGATGGAGTCTTGCACCCTGGAAGAGAAGGTTTGAAGGAAGGGCATTAATCTGAGAACTGTCTTGACATCCACATGGGGACATCAGGCCCAAGCCAGACACAGGCCTGTGGGGCGGGGTGGGAGGTGTCCAGCTGCAGTGTGACTATCAATAACTGCATTAACGTGATGCCCATGGGGGACAAAAGAAAGAGATGATTACAGATGTAGAGGAGGAAACAAATGTGTCATTGTTTACCTCAATAACAGCTAGCTTTGTTTGTTTATTAATTCTAATAAGTTATTTGGCTTATCTTTGGATATTTGCAAGATATATTTCTGGCTTATTTATTCTGTGCCTGTCAATCATGAATGGATAAAGAAAATGTAGATAGACACAGGTACATCTACACAATGGATTATTACTCAGGCGTAAAGAAGAATGAAATTGCTTCATTTTCAGGAAAATAGATGGAACTGGAGACCATCATGTTAGGTGAAATAAGCCAGACTCAGAAAATACTGTGTTCTCTCAGATGTGGTATTTGGCAAGGGGAGAAAGTAAAAATAAAAGGAGACTTTGGGGAATGTACAAATGGATCAGGGGAGATGAGGAGTGAGTATGATCAAAGTACACTAGATGTGTACATGTAAATCCCATAATGAAACCCATTACTTGTATAACTAATGCACACTAATAACGATTCCTGTGTCTGGTGTGTTTGTTTCACGTTGTTTTGTGATGAGAGCATGTAAGGTTTACTCTCTTAGAAGTTTTGAAATACACGGTGTATTATCATTGCCTATGGTCACTGTGCTGGGCATTAGGTCTTCAGAACTTCCTCCTCCTGTGTAACTATTAATCTGGATACTTTGACTGACCTCTCACCTTCCACCCCAACCTCTGCCCTAGCAACCACCTTCTACTCTTCTTTATAAGTTTGAAAATTTCAGATTCCACTTAAAATGACTTAATGTGAAACTTGTTTTTTATGCATGGCTTATTTCACATATAATATTCATCTATGCGGTCACAAGTGGCAGAACTTTTTTCGTAAGAAACATAATATTCTACTCTGTGAGGGTGTGAGTATGTGAGAATGTGTGTCAATGTGGGTGCGTGTCTGTTCATCACAGTTTTTTCCCACCACCCACGGATGGACATTTAGGTTGAATCCATACATTGGCTGATATGAGCCACCCAGCAATACACATCGAAGGGCAGAACTGTCACTTCCTGTGGATGTCTCTCTATCCAGAAAGGCCATTGTTGGATCACAGGGTTGTTCTATTTTTATTATTTTTTTGAGTAATCATCCTGTCCTTCACAATGGCTGTACCAATTTGCAGTCCCATCAATCGTGCACAAGGCTTCCCTGCTCTCTACATCTTTGCCAGCACTTGTCCTTTTCCTTTGTGATAGCATCAGGCTAACCCGGGTGAGGTGAGGTCTCATTGCATTTGATTTGCATTTTGAGGTTTGATTTGCATTTTCCTGATCATTTGTGATCTTGGACATTTTCTTATATACCTGTTGTCCTTATGTCATCTTTTGAGAAATAGCTATTCAGATATTTGGCCATTTGAAATTTATTTTTAAAACAGAACCTCTGTTTTAATACAGTGTTTCATTTGTCAAGGTGATTTGGGTTTTTTCTATTTATTGGTTCTTTACATAGTTTAGATAATATTCCCTAATCCAATATATGGTTTGTAGATATTATCTGCTATCTATTGACTGCTCCCTCGCAGGCAAGGTTTGATTACTTCCTTTGCTGTGCAGAGTTTTATTTTATTTTATTGTTATTCTATTGGTTTTTACTGACCTCATACTCACAATCTCTCTGCCTCTGCTTCCTGAGTGCTGGGATCACAGGCATGTGCCACCACAACTGGTTTTATAACATTTCATTAGTAAATATCAGTTGTACAGCGGCTTTCATTGTCACATGTCCACGTATGTTTACAACGTACCTTGTTTCGATGCATCGCCTCCATCATTCTGTCTCATTGCATTCTCCCATACTTCAAATAATCGCATCAAATTTCCTTGTTCTGTTTTTATACAAGTATATACAGTACAGCACCCTTATTCCTCCTGCGCCCTCCCAAATGGCCCTGCCCCTCCACTCGCACTCACCCCCAAGCAGGACCTGTTTCTCATTCCTGTGTTTCATTTGTCAATTGAATAGTCCTTGTTCAAAGGGGTTTCACCAGGGTATCTCCCCGACCGATGGATTTTACTGTAATCATATTAACCTCTCTATTACTCTCTCTTAACCTCCCCAGCTGCTGTTAACCAACAGCTTTCAACATGTTTTTTGATGCCATCTTGCTACACAGAAGAAATGTTTCAATATTATTCATTCTCTTTTTTGTCCTTTCTCTCCCTAGTCCCCTCAAGTGTTGACTTTTCCAGTGTTTTTTTTAGTGCAAACTATTAGTCTATTTTGACTGTTGTTGCCTCTGCTTCCTACAGTGCTTTTACAACTCCAGGTCAGACATGGGAGGCTTTTGCCCTTCTTGAGCTAAATGTTCTGTATTCTGTAAGTTCCTTGACAACACAGTTTTAGTGGAGTGGTGGGAAGTGTGTGAAGATAGGTCAGAAAAAAGTGGAAGTAGGAAGATGAGACAAAGTAATGCAAACAGCACTTAGAAATGTTGCAAAGAGAATCAGAATGGGCTTGGAGAAGGAGTCTTCCTCTTCCTCTGTAAGCAAGAGCCGCTCAGTAGATTTCTCCCCATCAGTCTTGATGGTCACTGACACTACACAGTTCACATCTGAAGCAGGGACATTTACTTTATTAGGGTCAGTAAGGCAGAAATCTGAAATCATTTTCTGAGGGACCAAATCCAGGTATCATGTGAACAAATGTTCAACATCACTGGTCACAGACACGCATATCAGACACAATATCCAAGTACCACGCTGTACATCATACACATGCAATAATTATCACAGGGGACAGGAAGTTGGCACATACCTCTAATACCTGCTACTTAGGAGGCTGAAGGAGGATCTCAAGTTGGAGGCAAATCTAGGGATATTAGTGAGACCCTGTTTCAAAATAAAAGAAAAGAGCAGGGCATGACAATGAATCTCAGGAGTAGAAAACGTGCCAAGCATACCCACAGCTCAATCCACAGAACCACAGCACACACACACACATACCATGCTCACACACACACACACACACACGAAGTACCACTTCACACCCATTACTATTATCACTGTTTAAAAGTTGGAAGTGACAAGTGCTGAAAATGATGTGGAGAAAAGAGGAACTCTTGTGCATTGCTGCTCAGAATGTGAGGAGTGCAATTGTTGCAGAAACAGGATGGCAGTTCCTCAAAGGACTAAAAATGCAATGAGCATATGATCCAGCAAGTCCACGTCTGATGATACACCCTGAACAACTGAACGCAGGGACTTGAGCAAGTTGTTATGCATCCATGGTGCTGTGGTTTACGATACAGCCCCCTTAGGCTCATGTGTTGAGGGCTTTGCCGCCAATGCAATGTTCAGAGGTGAGTTTTATGGAAGTCATGAGATAATGAGGGCTCTGACATAATCGATGCATTAATCCACTGATGGCTTCATAATTGATTGGACTATTGGAAGGAAGGTGCCAGAAACTGTGGAAGGTAGGACCTAAATGGAGGAAATGGTTTGCTACAGGTGTGAATTTGAAGGGAGCATCTTTTCCCTAACCTCTTCTGCTCTCTGTCTCTACCTCCTGGTTGATATAAGGTGGCCAACTTTTCTCCACTGTGTCTTTGACCATCATGTTTCTGCATTGCTTCAGGATCCAACAACGGAGCCTGCTGAATGTGCACTGAAACCTCTGACACCATGAGCCAAAATACATCCTACCTCCCTGACATTGTTATCTCAGGCATTTTGCACAGCAACAAAAAACTGCCTGACATGCATGGCCATAGCAGAATTATTCCTGATAGCTAAAGAGGATAAACCCAAGGGTCCATCCACACATGCACCTGTCACATACACGCCATGCAGTGTAATCCACCAGTGCAACAGCATGGATGAACATTGACTATCTTATGCTCAGTGAAAGAAGCCAGTCACATAAGGACAAATACTGTGTGATTACACACAATGAGGTCCCTGGCATAGGTGAGTCTTTCTAGAATGAAATAAGATAAATTGCTGCCAGGGGCAGAGGAGAAACAGAAGGTACTATGATGGGTTGAAAGTTGCATTTTGCAGAGATGAAAGCATTAAAGCATTTCTGGAGATTGATGGTGATGGTGGGACAAAAATGTGCTTTACTTCCTGCCACTTACGTGGACAGTTAGCATGATTAAGTTGGCATATGTTTAATTCATATTTTACAATGAACAACAAGGAGGTAAATATTTGTCCATCTTCAATGCTCAAAAAATTATTTATAATTATATGAAAACATGTTCACCCTCACATGCTGGTATGAAATAATGTTAAAACCCAAATGAGATACAAGTATAGAGTAAAAATGAAAATGTTTTAAAGAATCCATATGAGGATATGGAGCAAGTGAGCTCACATGCACTTTAATGTGGAAATAAAAAATGGTATGATAATGTGGGGAAGAGTTTGGAAATTTCATAAAAATTGAGACTTACACTGACCACCTGATCAAGCAAACTATACCTAAGGGCTGCCCAAGTGGAAAAACAGTCTCTGTCTACAAACACCTCCAAGTTATTATCAGAGCAACTGTGTTTCATAGACACCAAACATGAAAATAAACCAAGGGTCCCTGAGCTGCTGAAGGTGTGCAGCAGGTGTCCATAGAAGCTGTGCAGCAGAGTCAGTGATGAAAGCAACATCTTTACATACATGTGCCCCATCACATGGATGACCACCACAGGTACTCTTGCCCTATGCCACCAAGCTGAGAATGAAAACGTTGGTAAAAATCATGCTGAGTGAGGTAGAAGCCATCAGACCTAAAAGCAAAATTTAATTTTGCTTTCTTTCATTCATGGTATGTTGAAATCTAATATCATTCAAGACACAGCTAACTGTGAGAAGCAGATCTGCTATATGACATGAAGTGCTAATGTGTGTGATGAGGCCTTAAATTTTCTCCCATCTGCAAAACCAATGGCTGCACTAATGAAACAGCAGTTGCTTCTGCACTGGTTAAGAACACACAGTGTCACACGTGGACACTGCACGGTTGTTGCCCTAGAAATGACATTGACCCTGCAAGGCCGGGCACAAGATGCTATGTGCAAATGGCATGCTCATATTTCACAATACCCCCAGTATGCTGCCATGGCAAATTCTCCATGGTGAGTAGCTCTGAATTCCACCACATGTGTGTGTGGTGAGGCTGTGGGCCTCATGCATGGGGACAGCTGCTTGGGTTAGGGACTAGGACACAGATGTCAATTTCTATCTCCAGCCACATTGCACAGAGCTCACTGTCTATTTACTGAATGAATGAGTGACTGGGTGGTGGCTTCAGTTCACCTAGGTGACCCTTCTTATTCTCAGCCACACAGAACCTACAGAATCTGAGACATCTTTCACGACTGACCACCCTCAGAGACTATATAAAGTAGTAATACTCTGGGGACAGGGTGTGACAAGACCCTGGTGTTAACAAGTATAGAAAAGCCCCTCAGAGTGGGAGGACCCTACACTCTCACCCATGACCAAATTCAGGTATGGGTGCTTCAGGGGAACCCCAGAGACAGGAGTAGTACAGGGTCTTACTCTGCCCTTAACTGGAGAACCTTTGTCTCTGACCATGTGGTTTCCAACCGCTCTGTGCAGAACGGAAGACTCCAAATGCCTGTGGGTCTGAGGTTCCTCTTCTGCCAACCACAGAGGTCTTGTGTTCCTCCCATTCTTGTGTGGGTCCCTCAGCTGTCCCCTCTTCACCCCCTTCTCTTCTCTGCTGGCTTGTGGGAGCCTAGGACCCTCCACCTCCTATGAGATGCTGCTGCCCCTGAAGCTGCCCCTGCTGTGGGCAGGTGAGTGGGCACCAGGAGCCAACCTTGCTTTCACCACAGGGTGCAAAGAGGTTTCAAGATATCAGCTGCTCATGCAAGAGTCTGTAATGGTGCGGGAGGGGCTGTGTGTCCTCATACCCTGTAGTTTCTCAACCAAGAGTAACCCTGTATATGGCTACTGGTTCTGGAAAGGGGCCAATACAGGCAATGATCCTCCAGTGGCCACAAACAACCCAGATCAGCTAGAGAAGAGGGCTACGCAGGACTGGTTCCTCCTCCTTGGGAACTTCAGAAACAAAAACTGCTCCCTGAGCATCAGAGACACACAGAGGGGCGACAGTAGCTCTTACTTGTTTCATACAGAGAGAGGAAAGGTACAATGGAATTACTGTAGGAATCCTATCTTTGTGAATGTGACAGGTAAGTCACCACTCCAGGTCAGCTACAGGGGAAGGTGAGGGGTGAGAGGGCTGAGGTGGACATCCTGGGAGAGGTTTGGGGTCAAGCACGAGGGCTTTGGGGAGGAGGTGGATCAGTGTGTGTGTGTCCTCCTCTCCTCACCAGCAGTTACACAAACCCCCCACATCCTCATCCTGGGAACCTTGGATCCTGGACATTCCAACAATGTCACCTGCTCTGTGCCATGGGCCTGTGAGTGGGGAACACCCCCCATCTTCTCCTGGATATCAGCTGCCCTCACCTCCCTGGGCCCCAGGACCACCCTCTCCTCAGTGCTCACTCTCATACCTTGGCCCCGGGCCATGGCACCAACCTCCCCTGCCACATGACCTTCCCTGCAGCTGGTGTGACTGTGGACAGAACAGTCCAGCTCAACCTGTCCTGTGAGTGTGCTGGGTCCCTGAGTATGTGAGGGAACAGCAAGGCCATGGCTGAATATTAGTTGGGTTTTGTCCTAGAGGCGTGGCTGAGTAGGGGACCTGGAAGGACAAGGTATGTCACTCTGTGAGTTGTGGTTCCAGGGAAAGTGGGAGAAAAGGTGCTCTTTCTCACCCTCATGCAAGTGAAGAGGAAATACACTCTCTCTTGCTGTACCCCACGCCCGAGGCGCTAGCCAGGCAGAGAGCAGCCCCATCTGTGGCGCTGTTCCTAGGAACGCTCTCTGCAGGTCTGGTCTGACCTTGGGTGTTCCAATTCCAATGTGGTGTGGCCACTGTTATCCTCAGCAGCACACAGCCTCCTCCCCATGCTTTCTGCTGTTCAGGTGTCAGGTGAGGATGTTTGGGCTTCAGTAGCAACTTCACCCTGCCCTCCCTAAAGAGGCTCTGTTTTCCTTCCAGTCACAGAACATCGTGCAGAGTTTTACAAAACAGCCTTTAGTGTTTAGGAAGGTTTAAGGTTCACAGCAAAATGGAGAGGCAAACAGAGAATCTCCTGTTCCTGCTGCCCTCTCACCTGTTCTCACCCCACACCACAACCAGCCAAGGTTACAATCCATGCCCTTCACACACACGTAACTGTCACCTGGAACCTCAAATGAGATCAGGTTCATCCTTGGTGTTGCACCTTCCTGGTTTTCTATTGGCAGTACTAGGGTTTGAACTCAGGGCTTCATGCTTGCAGGGCAGGTGCTCTACCACTCAAACCGGTTTGACAAATGTGTGACATGTTCCATCACAGTAATATCATACGGAATCGAGGAAATACCCGTGAAACCTCTTTGGGACATTTGGTTCTTACTGTCAGTCCCTGAGCACTCCCTTGGGGAGTACTCAAAATGATACCTGTTCCCTCCCTGAAAAATGAGCCCTATCAGTCCAGGATGTCCTCTCAGCAGCATTGACAAGTAAGGCCTGAAACTAGGTGTTGGGATCCCAGGAGGCACAGTCAGGCAGATGAGGAGGGTTGTCTGGGCTGTCACTAGGTCTGATGATTGTGTCCTTGCTCATTGCTTCCAGGCCCTTCTGTAAGCAGAGAGCACAAAACTGACCCTGATCATGAACTCCTTGGACACCAGGAGAGGAGACGCAGACTCCCTCCCTGGGAAAGGGGAAGAGGCATCTATGAAGGTCCCATAGGGAACCTTGTCACTGTCCCTGAGTCTAGTAAAATGCCCTGGGAACCCAGAGTTCATGGTTCTGCTGTGATCAGGTCAGGGGTCTGCTGAGAGACCCTGGGGAGAGAATAGCCTGGGTCCTACAATAGATGGAGTTTGCTGGGCAGGTTGTGGGAGTGGGATGAGAGGGACTGGTGGGTTTTCTCCTTTATCCTAAGGTTCTGGACAAGGCTTAGGTGCTAATGGGTGGGAAGAGTTACAGGCCAAACCCCATCTCAGAGGAGAGGGCCTGTAGGTGCTTAACAGGAGGGAACACAGGCCTGTTATCAAGGTTGGAGTTCATCTCCCCATCTCCTTTATCAACAGGGAATCGAGGAACCAGGGCTCCTTCAGGAGTGGTGCAGGGAGCAAACTGGGGAGGTGGAGTCACTGTCCTGCTTGCGCTTGGTCTCTGCCTCATCTTCTTCATGTGAGCCTCAGCTCTGGGTCAGGGAGGGCAGGGCTGGGAAGTAGGATATGGAGTTGGAGGGACCTGAAGGGTTGTGAGGATTTATGGTAGGGATGGGGAGGTAATGGTGCTGAGAATCCAAGCTGTGGTCACTGGCAAGCCTGGGTCTGATCCCAGCTGCTGACCCCAGATATCCAGGAAGTAGAGTGAGAAGGGCCCTTGTGAAAAGTATTCTCATGGAGGCTCTTAGGCCAGTGCTACCCATCCCTGGCAAATCACTTATTCCAGGCTCCTAACAGTCATCCACATTCTGACCAAATCAGGCTGAATGACCCTGTGTCCCCCATTAGAGTGAAGACCCAAAAGAAGAAAGAAGCCAGGACAGCAGGGGCCAGGAACACCATCTATCCTGACATCGGGCCAATCTCCCAGGTGAGTAACATGTTCATCCAGGGACCCTGTCTGCCTCAGAACATCTCCCTTGGGTGACTCATAAGTGTGCTCCACTGGGCGTGTCCACAACTGAGCTTATCACTTGTCCCCTTGGAGCTTATCACTTGCCATGTTTGTTTCAGTATTATTCAGGTATGGCAAGACCCACCAATCAGGAGACAATTGTCATTGAAACAACAGTTTGTGGCTTACAATTCCCAGGAGGACTGAGCACATAGCGGCAAGTCAGGGACAACATGGGCACACAACAGGCCTGCTCAGGAAGCAGAGGGAGTGAGGGAAAGATGGGCAAAAGCTGGTGCTGTGGTTCTCATGAAAGGGCAGAGACTAGGGGAGCGGGCACCGCAAGTTCAGGACTGGCCACTCTGAATAATTTCCACTGGTTCTGGGGTGCAAGGCTGTCTTCAATTCCTGGTGGATGGCCCTGGGGTTATCAGGGTAGAAGGACAGTGGTGCAGAGTGAAGGAGCTCCATGACAGACATGGTTGTGCTGGGCTTCGGATCACTGAGTTTGCACATGAAAGTTGCACTTGTTGCATCTCACTTGCTGTCCCTAGAGACTGTCTCTCTCTAAGAGAGGCAGCTCTCTCCAGGGTCCTCTGGGCCTGGATGTCAGCACATCAGACACATATGGTGAGCACCCCCCAAACATGCTTCTTCTGCGGGGAGTCCATCTCACTGATAGCACTCTTGTCCTTATACCCAACCAGAGGCCTGCCCCTTCATGCACCCCTTCTTCCTCTGCAATGGACCCAAAGGTTGCCTGTGCTTCTTCCAAACACAACTTGACACAAGCACTCCCTGGATCTAGCTCCCTTGTTTCTCCTTATCCTGCGCAGAACCTGTTTTCTACCCCTTGTTCCCAGCATCCCCTATACAACAGGCCACTGTGCCATCCTCCCTAGCTTTGAAATGCACTGCTTTTCCTCACTACTGTAGATTAGCAGCTTGGTCTGCACTGGGGGCCGGTATAGCTGGGTCACCATCAGGGCTGAGTTCCATCCACACTTCACTTCTCACTTCCCTAAGCCAAGTAGCTTTCTGCCTCTCAGGAACAGGGCTAGGCTGCCCCTCCTCTGCACACGCCCATATCACCTGCCCAACTCCTGCTCATCTTTTCAGTTCTGTTTTTCATTTCTTTACTTAACTGTGACTCAAGTGAACCCCACCTAAAAGATTCTGAGCACAGGGTCAGCAATCCTGGTCTGTCCCTCTGGTCCTTCCGCAAGTATCTGTTAACTTCCACCAACCAATTAGTCTAAGTGTTTTACAAATGCACATTTTACCTAATTCTTATGCACTGTTAGCAGAGGAATGACATGAACTGTGACTTATTTTAATGTGTTGCTCTGGCTGTGGTGTTGAGAAATCCTGCACAGGGTAGGGTAGAAGACAACAGATGAGACAGGAAGAGACAGGAATAACTTGAGCAAGGGAGGAGGCAGTCAGGTATGGTTGTGATACCTGTATGCCCAGCATGCAGGAGGCCCTGACTCAAACAATAACAGCAATGAAACGGTGGTGGGAAGATGAGGCAACCCATTGCACTAATGATGAATCCAAGCTGTGATCCAGACTCTGGATACATCTTAAGGCTGAGGCAACGGGCTTTAGTAATGGAGTGATTGACCGCATGTGTGGCGTGAGCCAAGACGATTCATTGTGTCACCTTGCACCTGTCATAGACATCAGAGATGGCTCCACAGATGTCTGTGGATGTCACTGATGTCCCTAGAGGTCACAGGTGACACCACAGTGTTTGCCCTGAGAAAATTAATGAGTTGAATTGTCAAAGGTTGAAATCACCAAGCCTGCAGGAGGAGTCAGTTTCCAATAGGGATCAAACATTAGTTTGGTGAATACAAGTTTGAGGAGTCTCTGAGATGTCCTAGTGAGGAGGATACAGATGGTCAGACTGGAGTCAGGACTGGGGTCCAGGTGGCCCCTGTTTGGAGGACTCCACATCAAGGTCTGATAGTGGCAAAATCACAGAGAAAAGCAGGGTCCCCAGACAGCGCCCTGGGTCCCTCTGGCTCTTACCTTAGGAGGTGGAAGAAAGCAAGAAGATTGGGAAGGAGCAGTGCCGAAGAAGGTAAATGACCAGGAGAATGCAGATGCCAGCTGGTGGCCAATGGGAGATGCAGCCCAAGAAGGGGGACTGTTTGCTTCCAATGCTGACAGGCCCACTAAGACAAGGCCTGGGATTGTCCTCTGAAGCCCCACTGCTGACCTTGACAAAAGCAGATGTGGTAACTACAGGAGGAAGAAACCTCTCTGGATTGGTGAGAATTAGAGCAGTGGACACCATTAATGCCAAGGGTGCTTTTGAGGCGAGGGAGTGGACACCATTAATGCCAAGGGTGCTTTTGAGAATTGCTGCAGTAAATCCAGAGTCAGGAAATGGGTCCCCAGAAGCAAATGGCTGTGCACTATAAACCTCTGCCATTCCCGGCAGCATACAGGCTGGGTCTCCACACAAACCTGTCGGTGTCAGGCACCCCACTCCTATGGTGACTGCCCACTGTGGCCTCCTCCACCATATGGGAACTCCACAAGGACAAAGTCAGGTCTGCTTAAACAAGGGTTTTTCTACCTGTCTCTTGCTCACCTGCACGGTATACAGGAGGCAATTGCACATTTATTCAGCAGACTGTTTGTCTCCTCCTTCACATTTCTGTGCTCCCTCCTGCGTAGCCACTACTGAGCACACAGGAGGCCTCAGAGAGATCTGGGTTGAGTCCATGATCAATATGTGTGACCTTGTGAAGTCATACCTTCTCTGAGGCTTACTTCCCTGTCTGAAAAAAGGTAAAATGATAGCATTTTCCTTATAGGTCTTGGGAATGTTCAGTAGGATTGGCAACACAAATAAGTACATATTTATTGCATAATTGAATGAGTGATGGCCTAGGAAAGAGTTGATGGCAGAATGAAATTCACCTCACAACCCCCTCTGCCTTCATTCACTCTGTCTCCTTCCCCACTCCTTGCTGTGACCCCCCACCTTTCCTCTCCACACAGGGTCCCCAGCAGGAGCTCAAGTCACACAGCCCCACTGAACCCTCACGCTCTCCAGGGACAGAACCGACCTTAGGAATGGATCAGGATCTGCATTATGCCTGTCTCAGCTTTCATGGGAAGACACCCCAGGAGGACACCTCCAGCCAATACTCAGAGATCCAGACCCATTGAGGAGCCACAGACACATGGGTGTTGGTCAGAGACTCATGTCCTCTACCAGCCCCAAAGGCTGACACTCAGAGACTTAGCATCCCCAAGGGAATGGGTTATGAACTACTGCGTGTGAGTTTCCTGCTGTGTTGAGATTTTTCTCAGATTTTGCAAGCAGAGACCTGGGAGCAAATCTGTGTTCTCATTTATAAGATCATGACATCAGGACAGTCACGTTCTCCTCCCTGTCTGGGGTTTCTGCTCTGTGAAATGGAGGTAAAAATCCTAGTTGTCAGGTGCTCTAAGGATTAAATACAGGTTCAGATAGAAAGACATCCAGCAGCAGTCCAGGTTTGTGGGGAGAATTTGGGTCACACAGTGTCCCTTAAACCTCTGCTCCAGGGTTCAGTGTGTCAGTCCCAGAAACTGTGTCAGCAGTCTTCCTGCCTCATTCCCTGCTTGAAATCCTGCAATGGCTCCCTCCCTTGATTGAATTCTCCTTCAGCATTCTCCCACTCCCACTCCTGAATCCTCCCTTCTTTCCATCCCTTCTCCTACTCAGACTTGTAGCTTATATATGTCCTGGTACAGGCAAAATTAACACTGGCAATTAGAGAAGCTTCTAAATTGAGAGCTAACAGCAGTGATAATACTTTCCCCATTCTCCAACTCCAAAATTATTTATAGCATTTTCAACAGGACCTAGGACAAAGATCAGCAAACTTTTTTTGTTCAGGATCTGATGGTAGATATTATAGGCTTTGAAATCCATAAGACATCTACTGTGACTACTCTACACCACCCTTGAAACACAAAACCAGTCATAGACCTTCTGCAAACAGGTGACCTGGGTTCCAGCAGAACTTCACTTACAAACACAGGTGTCCCATGGGCTGCAGTTGGCCGAGCACTGCTCCAGGTTGTCCTCTTCTCCTCATGGCCAAGTCCTCACCTGCCCATCCCTGATCCATCTCTACACATCCAACCAGGTGCATCTCTCCCTGTTGGATGCAGCCATGGCCTTCCTGCAGGAAGGGCCTTGTCATCCTTGGGTGAGGTCTTCTTACCCTTCAAAATGAGCTCAAAATGACATGCCTGGGTAGAGATGGTGGACAGCAGCAGGAGCTCATAATATACCTCCTCAACAGCTTATTAAAATACTAAAAAATATTTAAACAAAAACAGCTCCTGGTCTCCAGCAGCACCCATGATAGGGGTTTACCCTCCAGCCATACATTCATAATGACCACTAACTAAACAAATGGAACACTCTAGAATTCTGTCAAAATCACACGATGCCAACACCCCAATTCTGTGTCCCCAGAAAGCACCACTTAGTCAAGCTTGCATTTATGAAAATTGCAAGCTAATGTTGCATCTCCACCTGCTAGCTAAAACTTTAGTGGTTGACCAACCAGTAGAGTTCAGAGAAGGTGGTCCAGTAAAGATGGCATTGATCCGTTTTTTTTCTCACTCTTCCCTATAAGCACAAGTACAAACCTTTTAAATGGTGGAAGAGACAAAGAGAACTTGACAAGAAAGCCAGTGTGTTTGGACCCCAAGACTGGAGGAGCAAAACCATTGCTGGGCATCTTGTACCTCCTCCTCCCCACCCACCTTCCACCCACCTGGGGAAGGACCCTCAGCACTGCCCTCTCCAGTCCAGACCAGCAACAGAAGGTAGCTGAAGTGGCACCTTGGGCTCTTTTCTCTCCTGGTAGAAGACAATCCTTCCAATAACACATGGCAGGTCCCACATGGCAGTAAAGGGGATCAATTGTGACCAGAGTTGACTGGTTATAAAGTGCTCTCCTTCATCATAGGGCCTGACACTCTCCTCTCCTGCCCAGAGGGACAGGGCTGATGGGCAGAGCTGGAGAAAGGACTCAGCCATGATGCCTGGTATCACTTTGTCCACCATGTTAGGATGGTGGGAAGTCAGATCCTAACAGGAGCAATGCAAGACCAGAAGCAGATCCTTAGCACCTACAGCCCCTTCCCTGTCACTCCCCCAGCTGGGCAGACAGATGGTGTCTGCAGAAGGAACACTGCCTGAGAGTGGGTGGGAGGAGAGGCCAGAGAGAAATGCTCAGCGCAACCCACTCATTCTCTGCTGCTCCTCTGACCCCACTCATCCCGCTCAAGAAGGCCTGGCTATGCCCCAGCCCTGCCCTCACTAGCCAGCACTGGGATCCTGAGACTCTGGGCCATGTCCTTCTGCAGGGTTGGGAGGCGCTGAGTCCAAATCCTGATCTTGTTTCAGTACCATGGTCTGAAACACCCCTGCTTGGATCAGCCAGGAACCTACCTGACTTAGTGGATGGAGCCTCCCTGGGCAGAGCCTTGGCCAGAGCTCAGCACTGAAGTGCAAGGAGCCACCAGAAGGGTTTGGGGACATCCCAGGTCAATGGAGCTGGTCACAAGTGACAAGAATCCTCTAGAAGTGCATCCTTCCTCACACTTGTGTCCTTGCTCCATGGGTATTAAGTAGGGGTCACGCTTCCTGAGACAGAAGGATGAGGCATGGTGTCCTCAGTAACCAGATGTGAATAGCCCAGCCACTCTTGGGGCATGAAGTGTAAGAAAACATCAATCACTCAGAGATTGGCACTTTGTAGTTGTTGCAAGACCTTGGGAAATACAAGGTTTCCTTTCAGTGTGCACCTCTGCTCCACCCAGCCTGCACAGCTGCAGGCCTTCTGTTTTGTTTTTTTCTTCATCTCAGCTTATGTTCTTTTTTTGTTCACTTTTTCTCTTTCTCTGTTTTCTCACATTTTTCTGGAACTTTCCAATCTCTTGCTAGGTGATATCAACCGCTGCAAGGCTCGCACCCCAATTTTTGCCATACACTCTCTGCAATTTCTCTCTAACTCAGGCTGTCCTGAACCTCTGAGCCTAGGTGCTGCTCAAAGCATGGTGAGACCTGGAAACAGGAGCTTCCTACCCTCCCCGAGTTCCCATACATGTGTCTCTATTTCTGTCCTTGCACTTTTCAGGTTGACCTCTTGGGAGCAGCTTCCTCATCTATTATGGCCTCCCCAGCACCTGCTACGCTATTGATTAGGGTGGGGGGCTGTGTCTGGTGCCTATAAAACACCACAAACCTAGGAGATGACACAGGCACAGCCTCTCATGAGTTTCTTCATTTATTCTATCAAATGATCCTCTCCCCTGCCCCCCCTCAAAAAATCGGTTAATGTCATGACTCACACAGCGTAAAATTAACACTGGTTAAAAGTTTTATTTTACTCATTATTGAGTGAAAAAGAGAGGGTGGTGAAATACTAGTACAAAAGGAGCAAATCTGTGTTGAAAAGGATTTGCATACTTATGAATCTGATCTGCTGGGGGATTCGAGCCTTCCTCCAGCAGACAGAGCATCTGTGAATCACTGTGGGCACGGACTGATTGCACTTCTCTTGATTGTCTATGAATTATAGTTTTGTAAAATGGTCCAATGGCAACACAAGGCTAGAATTAGATCGACCTAGGAGAATATGCTGTTGAAGAACACATGGTCTTCCATGGGAGGCACCACGTAATCTTACTTCGTTTCTCTAAATTCCCTGAAAAGTCTTCACATAGCTGCTCATTGAGTACCTGTCAAATGGCACATATTGTTTTCCTAGGAAGAGTAGCTTCAATAGAAAATACTCAAGATACAGAGTTCTTTATGAAGCTTACATAGTAATGGTGCAAGAACAGGTAAAGAACTGCAAAGAACACTAATGTTATATTGAATGGTGATAAGAAGTTTGCACCAAAACAAAACAGGAGCTCTAGAGGGACTATGGGATGTCCCTGTATACTCTTCCACATGTTGTCTGTGGGTATTGTCACTGGGAAAACAACATTTGACAAGGCATACACACCTAGGCAGTTACACACACACACACTTCACCCCTGGAGACACAGAAACCCCAGACACACATATCAAACATGCACACACACAATTATACAGACACACTTCAGAACACACACATATACCTCATACAGACACACACATTCACAGACCAGATCATACAAGCACATGTCATATACTCACAGAGGCCACAGATACATGCAGACACATACACAACTCAGACATGCACACAAAAACACATGCACAAATACACACTTCATAGAGATGTATGGGTACCATATGAACATACATTCCAGACACACATGGAGACCACAGATGTTCACATACATACAAAGACACACATATATGCACTACATGACATAGACATAGACACTTATGATGAACACATGTGTGTATACACACTACAAACACACAAAAATAAGACAACAGCCACTCTGGGATATGAAATGGCTCCTTCCCTGAGAACTTGGCCCTGGGAAACCAGACATAAGTTCTCATCAGAACAGAAGTAACAGGTTGCTTGTGCCTCTCAGCCATTTTCTGCCATTTGAGTAACTTTGAGTCCTCAGCAGCCACCTTCTCACCAATTATGTCAACATCCACCTATTCCTGGTGCCTGAGTTCTATCAAACCCCTGGCCTTGCCACCTAAGACATTAGCCCATGCCTGGAGCAGCAGTTGCATCCACACTCACACTGGGGAAGAGACAGGGCCCTTCAGCTTCCTCAGGAAGTGAGAAGGGAGAAGCCAAGTCAGCTGAGAAGGGATGGGGTGGAGAGTAGAAATGCATAGGGACAAAGGATGAGGAACTCTGAGGTCACACACCAGTGTGGGAGCCCAGGGGCAATGTCAAGTGACTTCTGTGGAGCTCCTCTCCCAGGTACTGCCCTAAGGCTGTCATGGGGGTGTGAGTGGACCCACAAGACACTGAGAGCCCCTCAGGGTGTCTGTAAAGTTCTCCTGCTCCTGGGCCCATCCTAGCTCTGGTGGAACATCCTTTGGTACTGTAGCTTCTACTGCCTGAACGACAGGCTCCTCGAGGAGGTTCCTGAGGTGTCTCCTACGGACCAGTCTGCTGATGAAGGGATTGGGCCAGGGGCATGTCCCATGGGACAGCAGTGATTTTTTTTTTGTTGTTGTTGTTGAGCAGAACTTTAGCAGTAGAGGAGGAAGGGGAGGAGCAGGAGGAGGAAGAGGATAACTCCAGCAGTGAAACTGAGTGACTGGCTAACAGTTGAAACACCTGTGATTGATGACTGAGGGCCTTACAGAGGGACTTACCAAGAGGTTGATTTAGTGAGATTGGAGGGAGTAGATAATCTCACTAATGGATTAGCCAATTTACAAGGGAAATAGTTGAATCACGAGGCCATTCACCTCATCATTAACCAACAGAGCAGTAGCTTGTCTTGTTGGTAGACTGGTGACCCACTAGCTTCTCTTTCAGGCTGATCAGGCAGTCAGTTGACGACCACAGAGATGGGCTCCTGGTGAATGGACAGGTCTGCAGTCCACAACTGGTGATCAAAATTGTCCTTTTGTCAGTAGGACCAAGGGACTCCAGGGGCTAACTTGCCTGTGGCTACTTCATTCCAGGCCCAATGATGTGCTCGCTGATGACCACCTAACTGCCTGATCCTGAAGCCACACATTCCCAGAAGCCAGTCTGGCTGTCCTGACACAGGTCCCACACACA